TATATATATATATATATCATATATAATCGTATGTATGTATGTGTGTATATATACATATATATAAATGTATAAACCTATGCATTATAAATTTCAGTCACGAGAGCGTGGTCTATGAAATTTTAATGTTACAGCTATTTGTTGTAATGTAGAGATATTTGTTGTAATTTTGTCAATTAACGACAAGGATGGAAAGAGGATGGTGGACGCATCTTGCGTAAAGACGCATATTTTATTCCACACGCATACGCCATTGCGTAGAGAAGTGCGGTCGGTAGTCAACGTTACGTCTAACCGGTTGTCACTGGAGTTGCTGCGATTTTCGTCAGTGCGAGCTGTCACGCATTGTCATTGTCGATGCGTGATTGCGCAAGGGAACGGAGGAAACGCATGAAACGAACAGAGAAAAAGACACACATACGCGCTTCGTTCGCCCATACAAGACGTCGTCGTATGCGAAGTGCGTCGTGCAAAATTGTGTAAGTCGAGCATCTACTTTCGCGACTCGTGTCACAATGCCTTCCCTCCTCTTTCCCTCTTCCCCAATCGGTCCCACCTTCGCCGATCTTGGTTTGCCGCCACCCGTCAGCTTTGAACATCGTAGGCGTAACTGCCGTTCAATCTCTGTGTTATTCAATAATTAATTCAATCAGCTATTGAATAAAAAGTTAAAAAAAAATCTAAAAATTAAATAAATAAAATCTCTAGGAAATTTTTTTCAGGAAATTATGAAAGAGTGAATTTTAAAAGAGAATATTTTGTAAGAGAAGAATTAATTTATAAGCTTTAATAGAAATATAAACTAAATTTACAAATAAATTAAAAATAAATAGAGAAAAACTTTCTTTTCAATTATCTAATAAAAAAAAAGTTAATCTTTCATCAGATTGTTCCTAAATAATCATAGATACAGAAGTTGGAAGTTTTTAAAATCGTTTTAGTAGATGAATGAGCTTTAAAAAAAAAATTAGAAAAAAAGTTATGCATACAAGTTGTTGTGCTATAAGTTTGTTAGAACAACGTATGGGTGTTCCTTGGGACAAAAACGCTCGACCGCCGAGAGAGAGAAACCCGTGAGCAAGGCGACCTGGCTCGTAAATCGTTGTAATTCATAAGCATTAAAATGGGGTAAAGTACAAAGAGGAAGAGAAGCGTTGCCTTCTCTAAACGACCAAAGTCAGGGCAAACAACCTGGAAGCGTCCTTTACACGAACGGGTTAACGATTTTAACAGAGAGCTTCGTCGGTCTAACGGGTTGACACGTACTTTAATTGTTTAAATATTATTTACGAGGTGCATCCCGGATATAATAAATTAAAATGACAAGAAAGCAGAGTTCAATAATAAAATTGTCCGTACGTTCTCTAACTGACGTCATCAATTAAGTGGCTATTATCGTCATGTCCGTGTGCGTCAAGAATTAATCGAGGAAGTGACAAGCTGTTCTAAACGTCGTTGTGTTGCCCGAGGCAATTCGACTCGTATTTTGGGTCCGACGACCGGTCCGAAAGCTAATATGTACACGCAATAAATCGCTTAATAATTACGTATGATTGTTCCGGACGTAGTTATACTGTCGAGAGTTTGATGATCGATAGTCGAGGCTATGTCATTGAACTTCTCTATCCAGGCATCATGTATTCGCAAACAAAGAGAGCTCGGAGATAAGGCCACCGACAACCATGGTCGCCCTTTCGAGCACTTCCCGCGTCCTTCTCAACGAAACAAAACGATGATCGACAACTGCGCCTCCGCGCGTCGAGGCTACGTCATACGCGAGGGTACCGGCGAAATACGAGGCGGTGAAGGGTCCGCGTTGAGGCCACGAACGATCAGGCAGTCCTTGGCAGTGCTCCTCCAACAAGTGGTCGGCACAACAAAAAAGAAAAAGAAAAAAAAAAGAAAAAAAAACGAGCAATCGCAGTACGAGCGACGTGAGGAAGGCAGAGCAGGAACCTGTGGCCGGGAGTCGGGACCGGGTGGTTCGCGAGAGGTGGGAGAGGTCATCCCGACGAATATAAGGGGTCCTAAACGCCGTGTTCAGGCATCATTCGCTCTTCAGTGCTCCGCCGAAGTACGAAGCAACAAACCACCGCAGTCGACCATGTACAAGATCGTCGCTTTCTTTGCCCTGCTGGCTTGCGTCGCAGCCGCACCCGGCTATGTGGCGTTACCCGCCCTTCACGGCCTTCACGCGGCGCCAGTTGTCGCGGCGGCTCCCGCGGTCGCGGTCGCCCACTCCGTCCCGGTCGCCACCAGCTACGCCAACACCTACAAGGTGTCCGTGAAGAGCCCGCTCGTGGCCCCGGTCGCCTACACCGGACCGATCCTGAAGACTGCGCCAGTCGTCGCCGCCGCCCCCGTCGTCGCTCATGCACCGGTCGCCTATGCCGCCCATGCCCCCTACCTCGCTCTTCATTAAGGGAGAATCACTACATTATTAACCACCTTTTGCCCATCTCTCAAGACAATCGACACATGCCGACAATGAAGACGTCCCTCGTCATCCAATTGGACGCGTGACGATTCATCGGAACGATCGACCGAATCGACCGGACCATCGATCAACTGGGCACCTTGACTTGAAGCTTGTATCAGCCTGTCCACGCGGTCGAACGACCGATCGCTACGATTAATCAATAAAGTTGCCATTTCTGCCTTTAAATAATTGTGTCCTGTGTGTTCAGCCTTTATTGATACCTTCAACTTATTATTAGAGAATATATCAACGCTGTTTTAGAACTCGTTATTACAAAACTTATTTGTATATTTTATATATAATAATCTATAAGTTCTCCTTTATTTTTCGCACGTATTAGAATAGTCTCATCGAATGATATCACATGTTATTGTCGAACTGAGCGGTTATCGAATTCTACCTCGTTGGGTTCTCACGGCGCTGTACCTAAAGGGCTAATTCCTCCGTATCACGTATCACTGATGGGGGCTTATCGAAGATCGCAGATTTTTCCTCGCACAGTCCCGGAGAATTCGAGTTTCCTCCTCGCACAGGCGATCGGCAAACAACGGAGCGTCGTGATCACGGGGTGATCTCGTTCTTATAATTTTTTTTTATTTTAGCTCACAACGCCACGCCCGCATGGAGTACGTCCACCTACGTTATGCCCTACCTATCCGTTTACGTGAGGCTTTTCGCAAAATAGGATTTGGAACGACTCGATGAAAACTGTTTACCGACTTGGCGATCAACGGTTGTTTGAGTTTCGGCTTTGGCCCCCTCCCCTCACGGCACTCGCGAAGCGAAACTTTGCCGCGCGCCGTCGGGTCACGTATTGAATATATTTACAGGGAACATACAAACCCGCCCATGCACTTTTCACGAACCTAACTTGCTAAATTCTTTACGGGAGCTTTAAAAAAGTCCTCGTGAGGAGGAGAGGGGAGTATGGCGAATTATTCAATATCGCACCTACGGTTTCGCAAAGAAAAGCAATAGATAGTTGTCTATACGTATGTTGCTGCATACGTATTGAATGTGTTGCATCCGGAAAAGGAACTTAAGTATTTTATATTAGAAAATAGTTATGCGAAGATATAATTTTATATATTGAAAATGATATTTTCACGAATGTATCTAGATGTGTGAGAAAAGATAAATATTTAAAAATTATTTTACAAAGGCTTATTTTGTCTTGATAGAGATATTAGTTATTTATTTTTTTTTACATGATTCACCAATGACTTAAGAAAAGATAATTAATCTTACTTTTATTTTCGCTGTTTAATTGCGACATTGTCTCTTGTCGAAATCGTCTTTAATGCCATACATCCAGTAGAAATTGATAAATGAGATCATTAAGATTAAGCGCGTTTTCGGCCGTAATTTCACGCTCGAGTGCTTTTTGTTGCGTCCCTCCGAGGAGTACCACTTCTCCTTGCTTCTATGGCGTAATGTGCTTATTGTTACCAGGAGGCGAGGAGTAAAAGTAAAGTCTCAAGATCGCGAAGCCCCTTTGTTCGATCGTCAAGTGTACCCCACAAGCTCACGGCAATGACAAAAAGCTTAACGCCTTCAGAATCAACAGCCGACAAAAACCGTAATCCGTATATCTTTCATCACCCTCGATTTTCGTAACGCTGCTAATCTATTTCACAATTTTGATCTCGACTATAATAATATTCATGTTTTAATATATTTTCAAATTACTTCTCTCTATAATATGTGTATTATACACATATATTTAACTTATAATTCCTACTTGTTGATAAGAAAGTTTTTAAAATGGAAAAACATTCTCCTTACGTAAAATTTTCAGAGTTCAAGGGAATATCTCTCGGCCCCTCCCGATAATCTTTAATATTTTACGCGAACAAGAAATACGTTCACGGGAATGTATTTTACACACGTACATATTTTCAGACAAGAACGTGCCTTCGGCGCATTGAATATTCCTCGACACATCCTATAGACTGGCAGGACGTAGAATTCTTATTGCACGGACCTTGAAGGTCTCTCGAAGATCACGGAAGCGCTCTCCTATATAAGCATGCGTAGATCCGCGTGAGTGCAGATCAGTCCCAGGTTCTGATCCAAAAGTAGTAGTGAAAACCCATCATCATGTTTAGGCTGGTAAGATCGGCGATTTTTAACACTATCTCTAGCAACTAAAGCGAAAAATATTTCGATATTTCTTCTGAATGGATAAAGCAATTGGCAATCGTCGAGATTATATTTAATAACGATATATTTATAATAAAGAATAACGAGCATTAGCGGGTTAAATTCAATCGGGCTGACAATCATTATTCCGAGCACACTTTGACAACAGAACGTCCAATTTTCCGATCTGCTGAGAATGTAAAGACGGTTGGAAAATATTGACGCCGCCGGCGTCCTATTCTTCCCGAGATCACCCGGAGGTTTCATATCCGCGGCAAACGTTCTCTTTCGCAGGTGGTTATTTCCGTCCTGGCGAGCATCGCCACGGTGCAATGTGGAACTATTCTCACGCCCGTTATCGGTAAGCTCCTTTCTGAGAAGGTCATCGAGGCGCACGGTAGCAACGTGGTGCACCCGGCATCGGCACCGCTGGTGGCCGCGGCTTCACCCACGCTGCTGAAATACGCGGACGTCGCTCTGGTCCAGCAACCGGTCGCCGAGATTGTGCAACCGGTGGCGAAGACCTCCCTGATCGCCGAGAAGACGATCGAGGCCCACGGACACCAAGTGATCCATGACGCGCGTCCGCTGATCGCGGTGGCTAAACCTCTGGCAGCCATCGAATCGCACGTCGCGGTACCTGCGATTGCCGCTCGCGAAATAGCGTACGCGGCGCCGTACTATTCAGCGTATTACTCGGCGTATCCTCATCAACTGGTCGCCGAGAAGACCATATCCAGTTACGGGCATAGCATTCAACATGCGTAATAATCACCAGACGCAATATCAAAGTATACAGATAGTAACTCTAAAGAGCACGCATGGATTTACAGAATAAAATCTGAGTGAGTTAATTCTTTCGTGTGGAACACTGCACTAATTGTAAAGTAAAATACATGATCCATGTTTGAAAATATTTTGTCAAAAGAAGCAATTATTTTTGAAAACAGAAAATTATTTTCTATTTTAGAAATTCTATAAATTTCAGAAATTTAAAGAGACTGTCGATCCCTGTTGTGTTCGTTAGGGTTAGAGGCTCATCTTTTATGCCAGCTTTTGCTCGTAGTCGGAAAACTGCTTGTCCGAAACAATCATCATTCTCGATCACTTTGGCAACGACGTTGTCCTCGTAGATCACTCTAAGAACTATCCCAAGTTCGAGAACCATGTCGTTCGCGTGACTCGACAAACGGATCGAAACTGGCAGTCTTTGGCCTGGGAAAGAGGCCGGTCAATCACGTTTGTCAACATTTGTCAACATAAAAAAAACATTGTATACGTTAACTTGACTCGATGTAAATTTCTCAATAAATTTTCATGCATTTTCATACGTATTCGGGTACACATATTTAACATATCGAAAGAAGAAGTGAAATGACATTCAAGTCATCCTACAAAAGTTATTCCCTTCTATATCCAATCTGTTGTCTATACTATATTATAATAATTTTTCTATATTATACATATGTATATGTGTATTATATATTTAGTATACTAATATTTTTCCGACAATTGAGATTTGCGCTCGCAAATTATATATAAATCTGCATCGTCCTGTCAACAAGTTTGCCGCTCGACCAATGATACAATATATCCGTATATTATACCTCTCGATATAAATTGCCCAACGCGCGATCGCCTTCGAGGTATATGCACGCTTGGATCCTCAAGGTCTCGGGTGAATGAACTGCGAGTATATTGCTAATGGCCTCGGTATCCCTGGTCTACGGTGCGCGTATGGCGTTGTAAAGCATCGTCGGATCGCGCTTGTATCCAGAGAGTCGCGTGTAGTCGAGTACTGGCCTATCGAATCTTCTCGCGTCTCTCTTTCTTAAATCACGCCCGTCCTATACGGACACCGGGAATGTATACGTGCACACGTATACTCGCCGAAGAAAATACCAACGAGAGAATTGCAGCGAAAACGTACGTGCTGCGTCCGAGGGACGTGGATCGATAATTGAAAAATGCGAAGTCGAAGGGCTCTTGCGCCAGGATTGTTTCTCGAAATAGGAAGAAATAGAAATGGGAGGTAATGGAAGGAATGTTCCCCGGGACAAAGCATTATTCTTATCGATGTACTGCTCTGTCGTGTACGTTTTACCCGTTGTATATTTAACGAAACATAATACAAACAGGAAGAAATCTGCACTTTAATTTTTGCTAAGAAGATATACTTAGGATTTAGATTATTAAATATGTTCCTGAATGATAAAAGCTTGTTTCTGCCGCTGTAACTAATTCATCACGGTAAATATTCTTTTATGTGAAAAGACTCACAATAATCTTCTCATCTTTTGCTTCAAAGCCATTTGAAGTATGTGTAAAACATCTGATAGTAGGATTTTCTTGCAAAAAATCTAGAGTACATCGATATTAATTATTCCTCAGTCCGATTAATGGCCTAACCATAAATTATAGTTAATCTAGGAGTAGAATGTAATGCAGATGATCGGTGCATCCTACACAGGACGTTGGGATGCATCACGTTGCAACTATAGCCTTGTCCGTCCCTGAGATCGGGGAGGAATGCGGTGGTACGGCAGTTAGGAACTTTTGTAGTGCCGGACGAGTCTACTTTTTACGGTATCCCTCGAGACTTCTATAAGTACGAGGAGACCAAGCTGGCGCGCGCACTTATACGAAGTATCGTTCCCGAGTGCATCCGCGCAGAATCCTTGTCCAGAAGTCGTCATGCTACGATTCGTAAGTAAATTCAGCATTCCGTGGGGAGCGCAAAGTGCATCCGCAATGAATTTCAAACTGATTAAAAATCCTAGTAAAATTCGCACGTAGTAGTAACGCGGTTACTTCGCCTGTCGCGATTTACTTTCGTCTACCGCGTTCTCCGAATCGTCGCAATTCGCGTTCGTTCGCCGGAAGTGTAACCCGTTCATTCACCGCCGTTAGGCGCAGAGGAGGTGTCTTCCCGCGACGATATTTGCCTCACGTAGACTCATTTGCTTCGCGCGGTTCAACGGTTACTTATATTCGCCGACGTGCCCCGCGCCAAAAGTTTTCCAATTTAAATAAGAAGCGAGCTTTTCCCTTCACGACGATTACTTGCAGATCCTGTTCGCCGCTCTCGTCGGTCTGGCGTGGTCCGCGCCAGCGCCGGCACCCAAACCACTCACCCTCGAGCTGAAAACCCCGGCGTCAACCGCTAAGCTCACGCCGCTGGTCGCGCCGATCGCGCCGATCGCGACGCCGGTGATCGCACCGATCTCCCGTCTCGCTTATGCCGCACCCGTTCTTCCACAGGTAAGAACCGAAAGTCCAAGTGCAGATCTTGCAGAATGTTCAACATTTGAAAATCGAATCACGCGCCACAAAAACGTTCGATTTCTGAAAATAACAGGACCACCCACTGAATCAGGAGTGGGTTGCCGATAGCTTCTATTCAAGAATCGAACATTGCGAGCTTACATTTACTTAAGAACCGATTTTTCGAATTTATATTTACGGAAAATTTTTCTTTTTTTTCTATTTCAAGGCTTATCATTTTTTCGTGATCAAATTGCGTTGAGAAATTAAAATATGATTTTTTATTTTGTTTCTCATCGTTACTAGGTATCACCATACGCTTATTATTCTGCGCCGATCGCGGAGATCCCGTCGAGTTACTCGATCGAGCAACATGGGTACCATATTACCTACTGACCGCAAAAATCATCAGACCGGTAGCCGTCGACCTCAGTAAAGCCCGTGTGGAAGTATTCGTAACAGCACGCAGCTTGTCTCCTCATCGATAATCATCATCTATCGTGTAACCTCATCCACGCAAAAAAAAGAACTTGGTGAAAGTTGACGTGTTATTTTCTAAATCCTTACTCTCCCCTTCCGCCTTATATGATCCTCTTTATTGTTCATCTCTCGTAGAATAGATATATTACTAAGAGTTTTTCTCTCTTAAAAAGATTCGTATAATTTTGCATTACTAACAATAAGAGTTTTTCTCTCTTAAAAATATTCATACAATTTTGCATTATAATAGATGCATTTTGGAGGAATCTTAATAATACACCCGAGTGCGAAGTTATTGTCTTCATGTGAAGTTATTATCTTTGTTATTCGCTGCATCGAATCTATTTGCATTCCGGCGCAAAAAGAAGAAAACGTAGAAGGATATTTGAATTGGGTCAAGACAATTCACGCGCGGTTTAACGCGGCGCGATCCACGACACGAAATTCCCAGTGTTACGAAAGGCCGCGGAAAATCCCTGTTACGTAATGACGCCAGTGCGTGGCCTGTGAAAGGAAATCAACATCGTTGTGATCACCGTTGTAATCATCGATACGTGACAAGAAAGAAAAAGTAGAACATTGTGAAGATCCGCGTTTCAAATCTGAGCGATTCATTTTGTGGCAGTCAAAAGTAGCGAAAATTGAAAATTTCACGCGGAAATTCATCTAAAATCGCGAAATCGCATAATTTTATCGCAATGAAAAACTATACGGGATTCGATTGAATGAAGAAACTCCTGCGAGACCCGAAACGGTAAAAAGCGGCTAAGTTCATTGACGTGATTGCGACCCTTGAAATATACCCGCGAATACTTTCTCCCGGATCCTGAGAGCCTAATTATTTATGGGATATACATCTAACTCGGTGATGCGTCTAAAGTCTAATAGCAGCCTTTTTTTAATGCTACATATCGTAATCGCGTTCCGATTAATAAACGTAATATTCTCATAGCGAGACGGAGGCGGTGCCCGTCGAAGCACGTCTCTTCACTTTCTACCGTTGACTGAGAGTGAAAATCACTATTTTATATATCGAACCTGATGATCCAAGAAGTCAAGGTCGATGCACCTCATAAGATCGTAAGAAGAAAGTATTGGTACACTTCCTCGATTGTAACGGTTTATTTTGGGAAATGTGACAGAAAAGACTGCAAAAAGAATTTTTTCTTGCACAATTGTGAATGCTGACATGATTTTACAATTATTCGAATTCGACTGAAGAAATCGATATTATAATGTCATTACAAGGATTACCGAGAAAACAATCTAGGCTAATGACTGAATTTATAGATCGTCTTCAGAATATACGGTTGCAACATCAATATCGAAGTTTCCTCTAATCGAATCCTATAGACAAATTTATTATTTGTTCGTGAGGTAACCTTGACGGAGAGATGACTCGAATAAGTGGTAATTTTTACGCAATCTCATTGACGAAAAACCTAAAACGATGTAAAACACAACTATGTAAGGCATAATGAAATCACCAAATATTCATCAAATGCCAAATGACAACAATTCTGCATTTATATTTGTACATGTTCCTGTCTCTTACGTAATGCCAAATCTACGAGAAAAACCCACTCGGTGTTCCAGGAATTGTGTGGCAAACTAATTTTGCGAAAGACCATGCAAGTCGACTTCTTCGTGCCTTCGATGGCATTTTAAAACATTCACGGTCATTTTTTTTTATTTTTGAAAAGAGCAATTTAAATTAATTTGTGTAGAGAATATTAAAACTTCAGTGTTGTTTTTAATTGTTTCATTTTCAGTTACAAAAGTGCGCTATGCGCAATAATAATTCAAAATATCTTCAGTCGATTCTTGTTATATATTTCGCTATTATACTATATATATTAAACGGTTTTTAATACAATAAATCGTTGCAATCAGTCATAAAATTATCAAGTATTAATTTGTCCGCATAATTTAGTGTGACACAGACTTTTTATTCAAAATTAGTGGAAATTTTTAATCATAAACGCTGCAAATGTTGAATTAAAATATGTGCCTAATAGAAATCATATTAAATATACCATTGTGTTATTTTTTCACAGTACAGGATCAATGGATTATTCAGCGTAAATTTCTCTCGAGGCTACAATGTAAATTTCAACTGTACCGCATTGGAGTTCATTGTATTCTTTGTATTTTCCCAATAAAATAAATATTTTAAATGCTATCGCGAGAGAACAGCAAATGTAATGTAAAGTACGATTTTCTGTATATGTATGCGATATACGTTTCTCAATGTACATAAATCGAAAAATAGAACGTCATGGTTGTAAGAATGGAAAAACGACGGCAGATGCGATTTTTCGTATTCATGCAACGAAAAGATGAGTCTGACACACTTAAGGTACGCGCTACGTTACTCGGGTTACACTTTTTTCAGATTCGCTTTGTTTTTACGGTCTGCTAGAAGAAGCGTCACGAAGACGGATATCCGCCTGTCGTCGAATGACTCACGGATCTACCCCACCGGTGGTTCGCGCGACGGGACCAGCATCCCCGAAAGAGACGGCTTGTATATAAGATTCGTCATGGGTTCGGTAAAAGCACAGACCGCGGCGTCGTGCAGGGAGAAAGTGTTCAGTTAGAGAGCGAGAGTTCGAATATAAGACGCGGTCGCGGACCGAGAAAATCAGTTTATCACGGGTGTATCTGAAGACAGCGATTAGGTACGTATATTTAAACAATTAACAATTTTTGATATTTTATAAAAAATATAAAAGATTTTTTTTTATTGCTACAGCTGTGTAATTTCATTTTTAAACATTTTAAAAATATGTACGTATGAAAATATAATTAACAATTACAAAAGTATATAGTAATGTAACATTAGAAAAAAGATATTAACTAAATAATAAAATTTCCATGTACCTCGAGATTCATATTTGGAATTATTATGAGAAAGATTATGAATTATTTTATTAGCTATAAAATCAATTCTATAGAAGCAAAACAGTTGAATTAATTAATTATTATAAATAATTCTTTGTGCTCTAAAATAAACTCTCATGTTTAATCATGGAGTGACTTGTCGTCTATCCTAGTAGAGACCTCATTTTTTTTGCGGGAAAAATATTTTTCCACGTTCGGTGATGAACAGAGATTGCGGCAAGAAACGTTTTTATCGATTACCGATTGACCGAGGCTATATAATATTTGCGGACGTTCATCGTTATTTGTTTAATAATTGGAGAATTGAAATTTCTCCAACATATATTTTTTAATACGCATAGATATACGTATCTCATAAAATGCAAAACACTTTATCGAAATTAGGAGTGAAAAGCGTTCGCCAACGTGTGTCTCGTTCTATCGTGAAATATATAAAAACTTTCTCCTCTTTAAATACCGCCTCCGCTTCGTTCTTATTCAGATTCGCAGATTTGTCAAGCGTATCTGACTCACCATTGTATGCTAAAGACGAATTACCCTACATTGTAGTACAAATGTTTAAAAAGAAGCTGTCGCTGATCAATTTTTATTTTACTGATTTAAAGCAGAAATAATGCATAGAACTTTCAAATGTTGTTTTTACTTGAAAATTTAGATATTTTTTACATTTTGTTAAATTTTTGTTTTTTATTTTCAAGAGAAAAACGAAATAAAAGAAGCAAATTTAGCGATTTAGCCTCAAATAATAAACATGGAGATGCTAGAGATTTCGAATAGTCATAAAACTTTTAATGAGTCGATTGAGGACGACTTAATTGTTTTTCTTGTTATTGCCGGCCTACTTGGAGATAATTGATTTATTATAAGAAGCGAGTTGTTAGAGAGGATGATTGAAAGAATATAAAGCTGGTCGCGTTATTCGTAACTTGGACATCATAGAGGAAGCTACGGTGCGACGGAATATCAATTCGCGAATTCACGAGATGTCAAGGCAAGTGGAAAGTAAAATATTGAAATTATTTGCACGTACAAAACGCGTAACCACTTTCACTATCGTAGGCGGTGAATGAAAGACGCGTCGTATTATGTATATACCTTTGCCAAATACGTACAGCGGGTTTAGTCCACGTATCAATCATTTAAAAAATGCTCTATGGCAAACGTTAGCTCGCGTATGAAGACACTTTACCTAATCTGAAATTTAAATCATCCCGCCCAAGTGGACGTCATACCGCATTCGTTACGCAATTGCTTTCCCCGTGTGTTGACGAAGCGATTTCGGAAAGAATAAAATAGTACGAGAAGATGTGCTCGGTGAAAGACGTCATGTTATATGAACCGGCCAAACGACTTTCACCCAACTTCCTCTCGCTTTCGTTAGTCCCTTCTCAGTTTAATTACACGCCTGTATACGTCTTCACGCAAGACAGCCTTAGCCGGTCCGGTACCGTTACCGGAAACCGGTATCTACACGTGGATGAGTAAGAATGTTATTCCGGTAAGCAATACGACTTTTTGTTTTTTCGAGCAACCGAAGATTGAAAAATTTTAATTGTAGAGTTATATAATAATTGTATTGAAGGCCGAACATGTATTGTCCGTCAATTTTGACCCATTTTCGACTCGAAGAAACCGTTCCACTGTTGTCGTGAACAATAAAACCGAACGGAGAAAGGCGAGATGCACTTTCACGTGTATCCACGCTCAGTACTCACAGAGAAATTGTCGAGAGATCCTCGTGAGATCGATTGAGAAGAAAATCGTCAGGTGCTTCGCGTCAAGAATTAAATTAAAATAATGGAGTGAAAAGAGTAATAAGAAAAGTAACGAAATAAAAATAATTAAATTAAAATACATAACAGATTACGCTACAATTAAAAAATTAGAAAATTAATAAATTCTAATAATAGATTAAACAGTAATTTCATTAAAATTATAAATTATGATAAAATCGTTATAAAAACAATTTATCTGATTGATGAAAAAGATAGACAAAGCTGAGTTTTTTTGCCTTTTGTTGCAGGATGAGGACGCAGTTCATCCTAATAGCTTGCTTGGCAATAGCGGGAGAAGTATACGGTACTCAAGTGTACGAGACGCCGAGTGACTCTTTGCAACAACAATGGCAATGGCAAAACCAAGACTCGATCAAAGCCTCGAATGGAGAACAAGAAAAATATCAACCCGTCACATTCGACACCGCTGACACGCAACAGAAAGAGACGCAATCGTTGTCGTACAATGCGAATATTCAATCGGACGCCAGTGGAGTAGCGAATGTCGTTGGTCAGGAAACGGTAAGGATCGTCATCAAATATTCATTAAACGTTACAAAAATAATTAAAATCAGAAATGACAAAGTGAAATCTTATATTTATAGCGATCACTTTAAAGAATAATTAATAAGTTTACACGAATATGTTTGTATATTCAATCAGATTGACACTGTGATCGACAATATTCTCGTATCTAATCGGCAAGGTCGCAATCTAGAGGGATACGATGAAATCTACTCTGATCCTAATGTACAAAATGCTCTGCAGCTTGGCAATGATACGATCGCACGTACTTACATCAGGGACAAGCTCTGTTCTCTCAGTTTGATCAACGTGAGTACAGTTTTATAAGCCGATTAAATTTCTTAATCGATAGAAATGTAATTAGCATTCTAAGTTTCTTTTCTTTAGAAGTTTTAAAAATTACTTAGCTATAAACACTTGAGAACACATTACTTTATAAGTATACTATTAATAAAAATGTAATTAATGTTTCAAATTTTCTTTCTTTTTAATTTGCAAGTATTGTACAAATGATTGAAGACTCAAAAACGTTTTACATACTATAGAGATCGTGACTTTTACGAGACTTAAACCACGTTTAAAAACGACCTAATTATTTTTTACAGTGCGAAGATGTGGAAGGACGACGCCCTTACTATACTCCGCACCGCGATATTCATCCACACGATGTCATTTATGCTCAACCGGTAACTATCAGGCCGGTAGGCCGTCCACTTCCAGCCATACCCGTGAAACGACCTTACGGTCCAGCGAAACCTGTGCCGCTACCTCCGAGTTTCGGTTCCCCATTGGGGCCCAACGTTTATCCCGGACCCGGACCGATCGGTAGACCTCCACCTGGCTTCGTCGGGCCTTATCCTGGATTCAAGAAACCCGGCCTACCTCCTCCATTTGTGTCCAAACCTATATATGAGCCTGGCATCGACGTTGAACCCGATTTCGAGGACAAGTTTATCGATAAAAAACAGATAGTCCTACATCAACCGAGTTCCTTAGGTGTTCAGCAACACGTTCATCATCATTACCATCATGGAGATGCCAATGGCATCGCGCACAACCCCGCTGTGGTCGCGACATCCCCTACATTCGGTAGTAATGGCCTCGGCAGTTATGGCTACGGAAACGGCGGTACTTACGGCGCCACATTCAACGATTTCGAGGATTACAAGAAAGCGTTTAAGATCAAAACGTCCACGAGCAACAACGGTCCGTCGGTCTCGTCTTCGTCCGCGAAGGGCTACGCCGATCGTTATCCCACTTACGAAAAGCAGAACGGCAAACAGTTCGGTGGACAACTCGGCGCCAATAATCAGTTCCTGGGAAACAATGGTTACGACGGTGATTATCCGCCGTTCAATAACGGCGCCGACAACAGTTTCGGTTCCGCGTCTCACGAAGATTGCGTATGCGTGCCGTACGATCAATGTGCGACGGTTAATCACGTAGGCCGCAAGGATGATCTCTACTTGGCTATCGATCCGCGCAATCTCGACAAAGACATCGAGGCTGATACTGAGGAGGTGGTGATCACCGACGGAAATGGCACAATGAATGTCGTGAGGGTGCCCAAGGGAGTGAACGAGACCGAGCAGGCGAAAAATGAACGGACGAAGGAAATGGCAGAGAAAGCGGAAGTTACGAAGCGAAGCCGTAGGGATGTCAAACACATTACCAAGAAGGACGACAAGCAGGAGATACAAGCAGTAAGTTGACACAGACTGTTTCTCTCGCTTTTCTTACGAGTTCCGAGCGAACGATGTGACAATCAATGTAGGTATAAATTATTAAACTTCGACCATGATATTTAGATTAGAGATTCAAATTTAGGTTTGAAAATTAAATATTAATTGAAATTATTCGACGCATCGGAAGCTCGACTCGTATATATTGATTAAATTATCGGACGTGTAAAATGCATGCTACTTATAACAAATACACAGTGCCATTGTTCTAACACGTATCGCTCAGTTTGACACGCTCATTCAGTCGGCTCGTCCGAGACTATATGCAACCACGCAATTAAACGTCCGTACTAGAAACGATAGATTAGAAGCCGTCGTAATGGAGGACATCGGGACTCGTGTGATCTGGGTCGAACGAATCGCTTCTAACAAACCGCGAGCGAGTGCGAGGAAAAGCGACGAGAAAGTTTCAACTGTATAATCAACGTGTTAATCCTCCCGAAAAAAAAAAAACGGAAATTGGGATGAAAGAGAGAGAGAGAGAGAAACAGACCTCGGCTCTACGTGAATTTGTTCGACTCTCTCGTTGCAGAGACTGACGGTAGGAACCGGCAATCTGGACACCTCGAAACTGAACGTGAGGCCGACTTGGGGCGTTAGTTTCGGCCTACCGCAGACCGGTGGTGTCGGTCCGATCGCGTCCCATCCTGGTAATCCCCTGGGAATCCCGGGGTACGCGCCGAGCTACGGACAGGGCATAAATCTAGGCCCGGTCGCCGTGAATCCGCTCGTAGCGGTGCAGGTCACCAAAGACGAGTACGGCGAGAAGGTCATCAAGCCTTACGTGAATCTTCATGTAACGCCGAATGCAGGACTTATTCACAAGCTAGGCCACCTCCTGGCCCACAAGAAATATGGACTGTACGGTGGTCATTACGGCGGTCATTACGGCGGTCATTATGGCAGTCATTACGGCGCGGGGCATTACGGCGTTTACGCTCCTCATTATCACACGCATCATGAGAAACCGATCTATCATTATCCATCGAGACCGCCGTTTTATCCGCCGTCGTACGATGTTCATCAACATCACGAACCGATCTATCACAAGCCTCACGGCGGATACTATCCCTCCTACAAGGACGATACCGGCGATTACGATGATTACGATTATTCGGACGATTATCAGGATGATTACTATAGAAGCGCTCGCGCGAGAAACGCGTCGACGACGAAAGGTAGACAATTCTCGACAAAGGACTTGTCGAAGGCTTCGCCGCAAGGACTCGCCGGTGATGAGCGACAGAAGAGCGGAAAGATTATCTTTCCGAATCGAAGGAGACGCGACACGGCGGCGTTTAGCGAAACGACATCGGAGGTAAGGACACGGTCGGTTGGTCTGTTCGCTCTGCTGAACAGACTTAACCGTTGAAATAACGAGGTTGTAGAACCGCTGTAAAGCGGCTGAGGCCGTCGGCGAATGACTCAGGACGACGATCACGGTGATACCTACCGACTCTGCGAACTTACGAAACGCGGGGACTGTCAAACTGAGCGGCGATGTATAGCACAGATATAGAAGTCGAGAACACGATAAGTAGAACTCGTCGCGAATGCGTCGGGACGAAATCAATTGACCGATCCTTTTCTATCCGCAGAGACGATACGGCCCGCCGACTTGCGGTTCTCATCACGTCTGCTGCCAGAGATCGCACATAATAGGGGCACGCCCGCGACCCGGTCAATGCGGAGTTAGGAACACACAGGGCATCAATGGCCGTATCAAGACCCCGGTCTATGTCGACGGAGACTCCGAATTCGGTATGTGATTCTTAACGCAATTTATTGAATGGATAGCATTAGAAAAGGATTGTCAGTAGTTTGAGACGTTTCGGAAAAATACCCACGCCTTGAGAATATTAAATTAGAAAGCATAAAGAAGCTCTTTTCTGTTATAATTTTAAGAATAGTAAATGTTTAACTGATACCATCGCTTATCGGTTGCAAGATCATATAAATACGCGTTGATGATGTAAATAAAATATGTTTCTAAATGTATAGATCAGTCATCGTTATCCGCGAATTTAATATTATTACTATAATATTAAATTTCGAGCATTAATTTTTCATATGCTTTAAATACTTGATATATAATTTTATATATTGCAATTTCACTACTTAGCAATTTGATATTATTTGAGATATTTTTCCGCACATATAAAATCATATTTAATTATATAAATATCAAATTTTTAATATTTTATTACGCACGACAATATATTATCGTTATATTAAATCTTTTCCCTAATTCAGGTGAATACCCATGGCAAGTGGCTATTCTAAAGAAGGACGCCACGCAAAGCATCTACATTTGCGGAGGTACTTTAATCTCGCCCCGGCACATCATCACCGCCGCTCATTGCGTCAAGACCCACGCCGGTCGTGATCTTCGCGCACGATTAGGCGAATGGGACGTGGGTCATGACGTTGAATTCTATCCCTACATCGAGCGCAACATCGTGAGCGTCTTCGTGCATCCTGAATTCTACGCCGGCACTCTTGCCAACGACATCGCTATTTTGAAGCTGGACCATGACATCGATTTCGGAACGCATCCTCACATTAGCGCCGCCTGTTTGCCGGATAAACACGACGATTTCACCGGAACAAGGTGCGTTGCCCATAATTTACAAAACGTGATAAACGTGAAAAAAAATTATTTAAAATATTTTTCATTAATATTACAAGAATTTCTTTTAAATTATTCAAGGCTATAGTGAATTCTGATTCTTATAACTCTCTACATTTGTTAAAGGAATAATTGATGTCAACAAAAAAATTTTGTACACAAACGTTTATATTTACGTGTAAAATAATTTTTATCAAGATATATATATATATCTAAAATGCAGATATTTCTGCAAAAAATTGATTTGTGCATAACAAATGATATAATCAATCTTTTTAAAATTCTGTTATTAATTGTAAGAAATCAAATAATTGTAAACTGAAAACCTCTTTTCAAACGGACTTTTGTCTGTAAACGCGCGGTGCATTTTAATTGAAATCTAACAAATGATCGTAATGTGCGGTAGATGTTGGACCACTGGATGGGGCAAGGACGCCTTCGGCGACTACGGCAAATTTCAAAATATATTGAAGGAGGTGGACGTACCTGTCGTCAGCAACCAAGTGTGCGAACAGCAGATGAGACGGACGCGGCTGGGGCCCAGTTTCAACCTCCATCCGGGCTTCATCTGCGCCGGCGGCGAGGAGGGCAAGGATGCCTGCAAGGGCGACGGCGGTGGCCCGATGGTCTGCGAGCGTCAGGGCCGCTGGCAGTTGACCGGCGTCGTCTCCTGGGGCATCGGTTGCGGCCAGCCGAACGTGCCTGGCGTCTACGCGCGCGTCTCTCACTATCTCGACTGGATCCACCAGATCGTGAATTACTGATAAGAGAAAATTCAATTCACAAGTCGTATTCGACATAAAAAGGACTTGACAAAGTTCTATCTCTCAAAATCAAATGGTCTTCGTCGCCAAAATCGGTGACGATAGTTTGCAATATTTTATATATAGGTATATATTTATATGTATTATATTTATATACTAAAACAATTAATTCTATTTGCGTATAAACAAATTTCGCGCTTGAAGGTGGCCGATTTAAAGCGGAAAGATAGATATTCATACGATCATTACTCATTCTTGTCTCATCTATAGGCAAGTTTCTCTTACTTTTTTTTTTTATTTAAAAATGCCTAACTTATTGTACATAGATCTTTAGATCGTGCGCCAGAGTCGTGCAATCTCGGCGCTATTTGCGCATCGGCTAGCAATACACGGCACGCAATTTGTGAAGTATACATATATGATTCGAGCGTTCGGATCGTCGAGTAATGCATTTTCTTTGCAACAGCTTATATATTTATCGGTTTAATAAATAAACTTACATACACGTATTTTTTTGTATTCCACGACTGTTTCTCTTTGCCCCGATTTACCATGTCCCGCGACGTGTATATAATATATAAATTACGATCGACCGCTCGGAACTCTCGGGTACGTTTGCGCGCGCGACATGCAATCGAGTTTGTCGTATAAATAAATATCTGACTCTCGAACGAAAAGGTAACGGCGACAACAACACTTTAAACACGGCAGATAACAATAATATACGTTCGACTGCAATGTGCCTATAATTACCAGTGGCGATCGCCCCCTTCGCTCTCCTCCCCCCCCCTCCCCCCTTGTATTCGCCACTGTGCCTTGCATCCCGAGAGAAAGATTTCGTTCGAATAAAATCGCCAACGCGAACTTTCGCCATCTAATTGTAATCATGCTCTGTGTTTTCGGAGTATTACGTGCTTCCGAAGCGGATTCTTCTTACCTAGGTATATGTACGAGTGCGGACGTCAAGCGGTACGCACTTGCATCATTACAGAACAACCTGAAGGATCAAAATACCTCTCGGATGTCTTCTCGATACTTTGTGGACATTTTCAGCACTCGAAAAGCCATTCAACCTACCTTCCGTAATCGGAATAGCACGCATATCGCTCGGCGAGCATCGCGCAAATTGAATTCGGCGAGAGCGTCGCTTGCCAGTTGCCATTAGACGAGTCGACCACGTCCGAGAATGCCCGAGTGCAATAGTGCCGGTATAGTAGTTCGCGGTGCCGCCATCTCCCAGAGGAATTGAGGAAGCATCTAGCTCGGCAACCGGCGGACAACCTAACCTCTCGCGTGATCTCACAAACGGTCGGAACGTTGCGTATCGTCGCGCGAGGTACGTGCGGTTTTCGTGAAGTAAACGTTGATCTCCGTACCGCGTTTCACGAATACTCGAGGACGAGATTGTAAAGGAATCGGGCAGCAGCCCCGTGGTACGCGGAATCAATCGCGGTAGGAGGGGAAATTCGAACGGTGACCCCACATTCGCCGGTCGACCGCACACGATGCCTATAAAGTTAATCGGCCGCACGACGGATTTCAAGGGAAAGACCCTGTGGGAGATCCTGGGAAATCTGAAGAACTTTGGCGTCGGCAGGCTCGTGATAAGGAATCGCTTTCAAAGGTATCCCGAGCCCTGTTACATGAAGATACTGAAAGTCGCCGGGATGCCCTTGCCCCAAAAAGCCCACGTAAGTGCCAGAGGTGATCAGGAGTGCTGTCAAGTAATTCCGTTTGTTCAGGTATTTTCGCTTCTTTTTCTAACGTAACTGCATTGCTTCAGGAAGAACGCAAAGTCATGGTGCTGGTTGAGAGAGTCTTCCGCGGCCATAAGAACCCAAAGCCGGTACAGTTGGACAGGGTGACTTACAAAGCGGACTACGCGTTAATACCCAAGGATCAGGAGCATCTGTTTCTCAATAATACGAAGGTACCAGAGACGAGAATCCTGCCCAGAACGATAGACCTTCCGCCCTTGTTCTCGCAGATGGTAATTCGCCAGATGAAGGCAAGAGGCGTCGAGTCGCCCGTCGAGCCGAAATTAAATCTTCGGTATAACTTCGAAGGTGGTAGCATTAAAAATTATAGAGTAGCCAAGGAGGGTGAAACTCCAAATGTGAGACTGGACTATAAGGTGGATGAATCTAGTGTTCTTTTCCCAAAGCTAGAAGAGACAGCAGCCTCGTGAGATTTTTTTTTACATTTAACGTTCATATGTAGTTGTTAAGAATAAATATTTTATATAAATTATATTTTATATAAATTATTCCTGAGAAGTGAAGCAATAAATTACTTGAGAGAAAAACATAAAAAGAAAACAATCTGATTCTCAAAGCTCTGTTTTATTGGATGTACAATCGAATTCGGGAGGAGCGTCCACTTTCTCCGCGCGAATGACCTATAATTCACGTGAGAACCATTATTCATACACTTCAATTCCTCAATTATATCAATACCTTCCAAAACTGACGCATCTCCTGAACATCCATTCTTTTTCTAACGAGCCAACCGCGAACGTAGCTTTGTATGTATAAGGCGGCCTCCTCTTTGGTCCACAACCATGATTTTGGATAAATTGGTCTGGGACTAGAAAAGAATGTAATAAAATATAATTTATAAGATATATTTATATCTAAATTGTTTGATAATTTCTAAGATTATAAGAGAGACTATGGGATATGTTTTCTTCTTACTGCAATTTTAACCATAGCTTGAACTGTGGTATATTAAACACATTCTGCCAGGTGCACAATCTACTCGGATGTCGCGAGTTTCGATTCCAAAGAATCTCCGCGAGATAATCCAATCCGTTGAAGGAGCATTTATGTGTCTATAAAGCATATAGTAATTTTTTTTCCAAAATATCTTTCTTTATCTTACCGTTTTTAAAAATACACGCGATATCTTATTATACTTCTATCGCATTTCGACGATCAGCTTCGAGTAACATTTCTTCCATTGCAGTTAATAAAGTTGGAAATATATTTTTATTTAAGTAATCTGGGACATTTTCAGATGAATTCATCGTTCTGTTTACACGTTAAGAATTCTACGAGTTTACGAAGCGAATACAGATACAAATCAGCGCAAATTATTACACTGCGGCCTTTTGGAAATTTCATGGAATATACATGAAATTTGCTTGTTAACCCCAACAAAAGATAAAATTAGAATATTGACAACAGATAAAAGTAGGCATTGACAATATGCTAAAATACAGATAATAAAAATTGTTTAGATCACATTTCGCTAATTTTTGCGAAATTGTGAAATAATTAAGATGTCTCATATATAAATATGTAATCTAGCACGAAGAAGTACGAAGTGTTACATATAGATTCTAAATGTCCTGTAACTCCTGTGACCCTATAAAGAACCCATGTCCCATAACTTGTCCCAAAGTCAGGAAGGACCTTCGCGATGCAAGTACGTCTCTTTATAAGACGTCTGAACGCGTTATTAATAAATGTTAGAGTGTCTTAAAAATATCAATACATTTTGAGTAAATATTTCGATCTTCATGAAACAGTCGCGGAATATCCTAATGTGACGGACGGGATTTTTCCGCGGAAGAAGAACAATGTGGAACCGCGACTTCCGTTAAATATTATTCAGGAACCAACCGTCATCCCACCAAAAAAGATAACTGATGACATTAAAGAGAAAATCCCACCAAAAAAGATAACTGATGACATTAAAGAGAAAATCCCACCAAAAAAGATAACTGATGACATTAAAGAGAAAATCGATTTGATCACAGAAGAAAAATTAGACCAAGAACCTGTAACCGTTCCGAAGAAAACTGTTATCCCGACAAAAAGAATAGCAAATCGCGATGATGAGAAAATCAGTTTCGTTAAAGAGGATTCTGTCGTTGAAAGAATCGCAGTGGAGCCCATAAAGGAAGTTCGAATTGAGAAATCTAAGATTATCGAAGGCAAAATTGAGCGGGCGCCAGAGGCAGAGATTAAATTGGAACCATCGCGGGAACTAGAAGAGCATAATTGTAATAAAAAACAATTAATGAGATAATTTATAGAGAAATTTGATCGATGATAATTTTGAACGGTAATTTCACAGTCGAGCCAGAGGAGCCCATAGAATATGAGGAAGAGGAGGATAGCAAGACTGACTACGAGAAATATATCGACGAGGAATTACAGGACAGTCTACCCGCCGTAATAACGAGGGAAATTCCGGAGGAGCCGAGGGCGGTGCGTGAAATTTCCAGGAATGCGGCCACCTTGTACAAGAAAATCGATCGCGAAAGACCTGTCAGACCACCGACGGAGCGAGAAGCGGTGACCGCAATGCCTGAGGAACGAGCTAGAGAACTGGCTAGGGAAGAAATATCTGCGAGACGAGCTCTTGAGATAACAAAACAGATCGTCCCGCGTGAGCGTGCAGTCGCGGAAGATGTTTGCGAGGAATCATGTCCTTTAAAGGAGCAGAAAGGCAAGCAGTTACCTTATTTTTAGAAGAAAACTCAGTACTGTCGTCTCCCGTATTATATCGATCTTCCCTTCTAGAGATACCTATATATACATCTCATATATACCTATATCAGTATGCGTTCTACAAATCGAGATTCATTCCTATTGCAGAACGCATTATGCGCAAATTGAAGATACGGGAGCTGGTCGTAGATCATTATTATCTGAAGGGTTTCAGCTACTTCGAAGACGTATGCACATGCTCGTTGGCTTGCATGGTGTATACTTTGAGCAGGGATCCATTCGTAAAGAGCATATTCGCGTCTCTCGCATTGTTCGCAGTTGGATTGAAGTTGTGCTCCGAGCTGGATGCGTGGGAGATGCCGAGTCGCGTTTCATAAGACCTAAATATCGATATCAGCCGACACGTAATCTTCATTTAAGCCTCTCGTAGAATCGCAACCGGTTTGCATTAAGATTAATGAGACACCGTTAATCGCATAATGTACAATAACTCGTTTATTCAATATACACCTATATACAGTTTGAAATTTTATATACTCGTAGGAGAATAAATTAAGCGTTTAAGATTATTTGGGATTTCGCTATCCTTTGCCGAAGCGAGATTCTGACGATCCACAGCGATGCGATTAGCGCGAGTAATGCGATCGCCGATACCAGGATCGCTAAGTAATAGTTTTGCGAAGCGCGTGGCTCGTACTTTGGAAGAACCACTCGCAGAATAATGTCATTCTGCCACTCAACGGTACTATTTCGATCCGAAACGCTTCTGACACGTCTAACGTGACCGCCGGGACAGTCCAGGACACAGTCCACGGATTCTACGCACGCCACGGCCTTCACAGTGAGGAAAATCTCGTCGGTTTCTTTCATGCCTTCAAACATGAACGCTTGGAAAATCAGGTAGCTCTCCAACGGTGACATCGCGTATTGCTCGCGAGGACAAATCTCGTGCACGTCCGGATTCAAGCAGCCGTCCTTGTCGAGGATCCACAGACTGTTAACGATTTTCTGCCGCTGTCGCTCCTCTACGTAATGCATTGTCACTTGGCCGATCTTCGAATATCGCCAGCCTTTAAACACGCGGAAGGATAAAAATTAAAATAATGATAATTAAGATCGCGTAAGTAATTGCGATAATTTTCATCGTCCGACTCTCATTCTCATATTTAATTTATATTGACTACATCATTAATATAATTATAAATACTTATACAGTTAACGATCTTAATTATGCAAATTTAATTTCCGCTTGTCGGATTAATTTTATATGATTAATTTGTTAGAATTATGACTTTATAATTATCTCTTATATATTCTCTTGGAGTGAAATTATCGATTTAGCGAATCGTATATGTGTTACATGAAGTCGCTGTCGGAATCCCAAGCACGCCATTCGTCTTACTAAAGGAATAAAAGTGTGTTATCACTGTTCTCGGCACTAATGCGCTTACTGTCATCGCCGTTGACTAACACGCGCAGCAGAATCTCCTCGCCGAGGACGACCGTGCCGCCCGATTGTATCCTCGTGTCGAAAATGTTTTTCGAGTCGTAAGTCTTCCTGAACAGTCCCACATCAACATTCAAGGTATTTTCGGCGCCGCCGTTTAGCACGCCCGGTACGTTTCTCGCCTTCCTGAGGGAAGTACAATATATCTGAATAGTCCGGCGTGTTTCCCGCCGGACGGATACTTATTTTTTGCTAGACTTTGCCAGAAGACAAATGACACGTCTTACGCTTCCAAAGTCTTCACGCTGATTCGCCTGGTGTGATACGCGATCCTGTCCTGGGTCTTACATCGCAACGTCACCCTGTAGTCGTCCCTCAGTCGTAGACCGGAGATCACGGGAAATCTCAGATCAAGGCAGTACGATTGGTTGCCGTCCATGGAACAATCGACGACCCCGCAATCCCAGACTTGGTCCCTCTCAAAACTAATGCGATAAGAATCCCTGATCGCTATCGCTCGACAAACATCGCCCGTTGTCACGTTGCCTATCACCGGCGGAACTGAATTTCTCGGCGCTTTGATGGATGCTCTATGATTATGGATCGGGTAATATGACACATATGTAATATGAAATTATACGTATGTACGTGCGCATATAATATATAGGTTGTTTCAAATTCAAATAAATAAAATATGCTTTTCAAATTAATTTATCGATTTGAAGAATTGTTTAGTTGTGTCAAGTATCTTTTTTCTTCTGTGTTATTGCAAAGTATAAGAATGTTTATTACATTTTAGATTTGAAAAGACTACATTTTGTATTTGAAAAAGACTAGCGTAGTATGCGATAAAAGATAGAGAATTAAAGCCCTCTTGAATTTCATTACCTGAAGAACAATTCGCCTCTCGTGTTTTGACAGGACATCTCCTCGACGCTAACGGGATTTGCGAAGGCTGGTGATGTTTCAGAGGGAGGAGACGGAGAAGGAGGAGACTGCGTTGTGGTCTGTTGAGGGTGTTTGCCTTGCGAGAAAGTAGGTCGACGATGATGCAGAGGTATTTGCAACCCGTCGCTCTCCGGATATCTCGTGTCGTGCGGACTTTTGCGCGTGAGGACCCGTAAGGAATCCCGTCCGGGAAGATGATACAACGCATTGGGATAGTTTCTGATCTCGTCCGTCATCGCGACCGCTACGTTTCGAGCTCTGTTATCGATCACTTCCGGCACGGAGAAATCCGGAATCGAAGCTGGAGGTAAATAACTATTGTCGCGGAGTATCGCCTGCACTTTCGAGACATTGTATCTGCGATGGAAATTCACAAAGATCGCATCCTGAGAAGCGAATCCGTACGCGAAATTCCCTGAAGATATCGCGCTAGCGAAGAGGAGCCATCGATATATCTGCAATTATCGCCAATTAATTTGTTAAATTATTGTTAAATTAGTGCAATGAATTAAGCATAAAAGTTCAGTTTATTTAAATCTAATCCTCTTGTTAATTTAAATCTAATATAATGTAAAAAAACTTTGATATTTTCGAAATTCTCTTATTGAAAATTAGGCAATTAAATATTTTCGAAACATCACCTGCGTCGAGCACATTTTGTATTGCGAATCATAACACGATCGAAATATACTGAATAACGGGGTGCGACTGATGATCGACGAAGCCGTGGGTGGGCTTTTAAAGCGCTTTTAAAGCGCGCACCTTCGCGAAACCGGATCCCGATGGTCATTGTTCCGCCCGGCGAACAAACATCGGCGAACATCGGCCATCAGACGTTTTAATAGGTACCGCAATTCGTGATTTGGATGACGATCGAATACTTAGCATAAAACATCGTTCGCATCCTCGATTTTAACGCGGCTGCCATTAATAATGATAACGGCAGGATCTGTCGTCGTCACTCTCACGCTGTCCATTATATCTCGATCAATTTAGGTCAGAAGGCCTCTCTGTGACTCGCATACAGTCGCACGTTCATTTTCAGATTTCCAGCCTAACATTGCTGATATTATACACCTTATGCGTTGCTGTATGTTTCTTTTTAAAGGAAAAATATTAAGCGTGTTATATCTAACATTGATAATATATGAAATATGCTTACTATTTTATATGTATATATCTTTAGCCTAATAAGCTATATACGTCCTACATATGAAATTTAATAGAAATTGTATTAAATTTATTACATTAAAATGTATATATATTATATATACATACACATACTTTATTACTTATTAAATTATGTGTGTAGTGTATATGTGTACATATATATATATGTATATAAAAAATATATGTACGTTTACAAAATGTAAATCTGTATATATTTTTTTACGTTATTTATCTTATTTCAAAATTATTGGTAATTTTTTGATGAATTCCTAAAGATTTAATTTTGAATACATTTTTATTGAAAACTTTTTATATATAATATAAATTATGTCATATTAATTTTTAACAAAATAGAATATTTGATGATATAATTGATCATCGTAACAAATTACCCTAAGTGTTGAAATTATTATAGATTCTATAGCGATAATATCTTATTATATATTTAATAGCTAATTTAATTAATACACAGCGGTAGTATTAAGTGCGTGAAGCTATGAAATAATCAGATCGATTCGCGTATTGACGGAAAAAAAAAATGCTCCAGGTGAGGCTCGAACTCACAACCCCGGCATCGCTCACGAGATACTGCTCTTATAAGTACCGTGCGCTAACCAATTGCGCCACTGGAGCGGTTGGGAGAGAAGTCGCTAAACGGGGCTCTTCTGCGATGGTATCGCCAACGCTGGAAGCCTCTCGCTCTTATTTCACGTATTGTCGATCCGTTCATCGTAAATTAATTCGAATGTAATTTCGATAATTTTTGCGAAAATCAAGCTGAGGTAGAAACGAGCTTTCAATTCCTCGAATAATTGCCAAGTGTATATCCAAATGTACTTATACTTTATTCGCGCATACCTATTGTATTTATCCCTTTTGTCGCACAATCGACTCTTCCTATTCAATTCGCGAGGAAATTAGTGACGTCTACATTTCTCATTTTGACAACTCATGGCTAACGTTGTTTGTCGTCAGTGTCGTTACTCAATTTTCAGCTGTATGTATCTACACTTCTCTCATTTCATTGTCAAATAAGATACCTACATATATCTTGGCTTTAAGGAGAGAACAGAATGTAGAATCTATAAAAAAATGCTGAATAAACAAAATAAAGGAACACTGTTGTTTATTAGACTTCGAGCTCCGCAAATGAAATTACTTAACACAATGACGGCAATGACAGGCACGAGATGAGACAAATATAGGTTAGAATATAGGTTAGAAAGAGAAAGAGAGAAGGTGAAAAAAGTGTAGAGAGTGTAATTGAAACGTAAATCCGATTCCGATGTTTTCGCGTCGTGAGGTTTAGGTTGTGCGTGTTGCGTGATCGATCGCGCACGTTGCATTTCGCGTTCGCGATCGTGGAGGCTCGACGAGGAATCAGCGGAGGAGATCGGCGACAAAGCGAACGGGAAAAGGGAGCCGTACTGGCGGAGAGACTGCGAGGAACGAGCGTTGGATGTGACAGCGACAGCACACACGACAACCGTCACGAGCATCATGTCGGCTGCTAAATACATCTTGACAGTCGACGTGCAGATCGGTTAGGCGGTGACAGGAGGATCTCGGCCACCGATTCCGAGACCGCGCCTCGCCGTCACGCCTCGTCGCCCCGGAGGATGTCATGTACGTCGACCGCGGTAACGCGAGCAGCCAGGAGAGAGGAAGTGCCACGTTAACAGCGCGGTAGCATGCGTGTTTTTTTTTTGCGTGACATCGCGAGTCCTGGCTGGCCTGTCGTGACATTAATTTTCTGTCGAGGGTTTATGTCGATTTAAAAAATACGCGCGACTTTGTTTAATTTAATTCTGCTGTATGTATTTTGCAGAGACTATTTGTGTGTTTACGTGTCGCATATCCCACATGTTGACATTTTCTGTCATTAAAAGCTACATTGTACTTATCTGTATATAGCGTGATTTAATATAAATAGAATCGTAATTTACTTGTCCTTTTCTTATCTCAGGCATAAAACATGAGCTGGTTTGACGCCGCAGGATTTGCCAATTTGGCAAAGTCCGCTCTGAAGGGAGCTCAGAAGACCATAGACAAGGCCCTGGATATCAAGGAGGAAGAACCGAAGGTGATTCAGTCGCGTCCAGACGAATCTTCAGATTTTTTCGCGAGTTGGGGATTGCAGAATGAAGAGGGGGCCAACAAACGAGAAGGCGATCCACAGAAGCAACAAAATTCGAGCAGTATTTGGGGTAGCTTCACAGGCTCGTTTTTTGAGCCTCCAAAGATTATAGATGGGAATGGATGGAAGGCTGTCAAGCATTCCAAATCCTTGCAAAGCACTACTGATCAAGATGAACACCAACATGGCATAGTGTCTTCTACTTCCGCCCCTGAAAAATTGGCAACAAAAGACTTAAAGTCCACGATAGCAAAGAGCGAATCTGTACATAAGGAGGATAAAGGAGAGTCTAGTGCTGTCAGTGAGTCTGTAAATATTAATCGTAGCATGTCTAAAGAATCTAACGATAAAACTGCGTCGGAATCTTGTATATTATCAGAACAGTCATCTTTGGACAATGTCGTTTCTATTAGTACCGATACGATTAAAAGTGCCAGTTTGGACTTGGAACAATTGTACTGTGCGCCAACGGTGGACGATACCGATAGTGATTCCACTAACGGGGAAGAAGCTGAACAGTCTGACAATGAAGTGGCATCAGAAAGCAACGATATCAATACGTCGAGTCCCACTAATGTGTTCCACAAAGTACCTAACGTTTCCTCCGAGAGCGACAAGAAGAGCATGGAGAGCGTGGAGATACTTGGTTCGCAATCCAACACCGATTGCACCACCACACCAGAGTCGGATCTCAATTCCGTTACTAATTCGTTAAGTCCCTCCATCGTCGATATCAAGGTGAATTCCGAATCGGTCGAGATACTGCCGGACAGTCTGGTAACGTCACCGAGTTCCGTGGAGATCCTGGGAGATTGGAAAAGCGACAGCAGCCCCTATCTATCGCCGATAGATCCAAAGAATTTGGAGTCCTCTCCTATCCTGAGTGGAGACGAATGTGCCACTCCGTGCATAGACTGTACCAACATGTTGCATCCGCCGAGTAGAGATCCAGCGGAAGCTTCATCATCCGACATCTCTCCGTACGAATCTCCGATGGAGGAGGTGAAAACATTGAATGTCAGTCCATATCCTCACAGCATTGACAGCACACCGTCACCCAATGCGTTTTCTAGCTCGGACACGAATAAAAGTTTATTGCACGCAACGGACAGCTCAAAAACTTCCCCTGAAAGCGTCGAGGTGATACCGGACGTAGACGAGACGGACGAGATGAGCCTGGCCGAAGATTCTTACACCTCGGCTTCCGAGGGTACAGTCATGACGGTACTTGAGCCGTTACAACAATTGGACAAAAATAAGATGGAATTGGCCGATATGAATGTGAAGATAAAGATGCACGATTCGTGTCCGGATGACAGGCAAACGTCGGCAAAGGTTTGCATGGAGAGCAAGTTAAATTTGAGCCTTGATTCGCTCAAGGAGAAACATAATTTACATCTGACACTCGAGCCGATTACTACACAGCCAATTCGCAAGTTGGATCATTTGGAAGGAGTAAATGAGAAATCGGACGTTTCCACCTTTTCCCAATTAATGAGTACCACTATAGAACCACCGGATCCAGATAGCCAAGTCGAAAGCATGGAAGAAACAAAAATGGTCGAGAGCACTGATCAATATTTAATATCAACCGATTCAAGCAGGGAAGGTACCTTGATAGAGAGCAGTTCGGAGGATAACGCAACATTACTTTGTACGAGCGATTCCAAAGTCCTGGAGACGCCTTTGACTACTAGTTCTTATGTGAAGACTATGCTAGCTGACGCTATGGTCGAAAAGGGTGAAATAATCGATATGGAGACTCATTGCACGGAAGTACCTCGAGAAAATTCGCCTATATCGTCAGAAAGGTTTAATTCACATTGTTTAATTCACATATACCATTCAAATTGATAACTACACTCTTCTATCAAAAGTTTGCTTCCTTTACAGCCGTTCCGATCTTGTAAAAATTGGATCTGATCAAGCCAGTGGACATACAAGTGGAGACGAATTAGAAACTACAACATCAAGCGACATTGAAATAATATCTAGGTATGAATGTAATAACATGTTTTTATTTAATATTCGATGCTGACTAACAATGTATTATTTGTCAACAGTCCTAATGGAGATTCAAGTTCGACCCAATCGCGACAGAGCCCGGCGAAATTGCAGTTAAGTAAAAGCGGTGATTTGCTAACGAAAACTTTAAAGACCCGGGGTCATTCTCGAGAATTGAGCGAAATCAGCATAGGGTCGGATGAAGCGAATATGGAAATTGAAAAACTGTTGAAACGTGTGCAGGAGATGACCGAGATTTTAGAAGCGAGAGAATCGAAGTTAATCGACATAAGCAGGATAAATATGGAATTACATGAACAAAACACAAATTTAATAAAGTAAGATTATCATAATTGTATTAAAATATCATCTTATCAAATAATAGGTATCATGAATAGATATGTTTTACAGACAGCTTGAGAATTTTGAAAAACATGCGGAGCAAAATCAAAATATAAATCAAATCACGGATGAATATACGCAGCGTCTGTCGGCACTGGAGAGGAAATTTCAGCAGGCGATAAGGGAACGCGATCAGTTGAGGAAAAATTTAGATCAGTTGAAGTTAGAGGCGGCTTCGCGTTTATCGTCGCAGGAGATGTCTAACATAAACGCCGAGAAGGATGAAATCATAAAGGAGCTTCGTGAAGAGGGCGAAAAACTCAGTAAACAACAACTTCAACATAGCAACATTATAAAAAAGCTGCGCGTAAAGGAGAAAGAGACTGATGCAACGATAAAGAGTCAAAAGTATTTAATCTTATATTAAAAGCAAACGACAGCAATAATTATATTCGTCGTTTTTATTTATCATTTTTTCCAGAGAGCAAGTAGAGGAACAGAATACAGAATTGGAGAGATTGAAACGATCGCTGCATGCGAAAGAGGAGGTAGAGCGGAGTCAAATAGAAGCCGTTCACACGTTGACGGCGAAAACTAAAAAGCAAGAAAAGGAGATATTAACGTTACAAGAAAAGTTGGACAATGCGGTACATAAGATGGAGGCCTATAAAAAGAGCTTGGATGCTGCAAAAGTGTGAGTCATAGAGTCATTAATTGATTCTAAGATAAAACGAGTTTTATGTGCATAATAAAAATTTGTATGTAATAGGGACTTAACAGAAACGAAGAAAAAGTTGCTAGCCACTGAAGAGGAATTAAAAGAAGCTGTGGATAACGCAGGCGAATCGTGCCAACTGTTTGCACAAGTGGAGGATTTAAAATTGAAATACCGTCAAGCTGAAGAAGCTCACGTCAAGTAAATATTGTATATAAATACCCTTTATCATATAAATCGTGTATAATTTATTATATAAACAATTTTGAAGATATTCTAATATCTATTTTCTCATGTTATAGAAGGGAAGAGTTTTTCAAACACGAAAACAACGAATTACTTAAACGATTAGAAGCCGCAGAAGCCAGAAGTGAAGAGTTATCCGAATCCGTCTCGGTAGCAACAAAACCTTTACTAAGGCAGATAGAACAGCTTCAAGCGAACTTACTGCATAAATCCAACAGCTTCATGAAGCAGGAGAAGATTTTATCGGAGAAAAATATCGAATTGCAGTCAAAAATCGAGAATTTAATCGAGATGGATCGCCTTTTGAGAGAAGAGAATATTAATCTGAAATCCAAAGAGTCGCATTTGGAATCGAAACTCAATGTAAAAGAGAAAGAAAGGTCGCAATTGCAGGAATTTCATGATATATTAAAAGAGGAGAACAAGAGATTATTAGAGCAAAATAAAGAGTAAGCGTTTAGAATGTATACACACTTTCTTGAGACGCGATAATATTCAACCTGTAACAAAATTCAAATTGCAGACAGCAAGATGCGATAAACACCCTCGAGCAGACACATTCCAGTCATATACAGGAATTGAAGAGAGAAATAAACGCACTTGAGAATACATTAGCTATCGAGAAGGCAGCGACTGACGCAGAACGGAGAAGAAATAACGCAATATTGGAACAGCAGCAAAATACCGACGAGGAATCACGATTTAGTCCTACTCTCAGTATTGGACAAGAATCCGTCAGCAGTGCAAATAGTGCCTGGCCGGGTGTATGTATAAAAATGTTATTGCAAAAATTATCGATAATTACTCCGTATATAATACAAAATTGTTTTTTTTTTTTTCAGTTTAGCGATTCAGTATTTGATAATAACTCCGGCAGATTTCCTCCAATACCTTACGAAAGCATCATAACGGGTTCGAATAGTACATCGATTTTCGAGAACTTGCAAGCGCAATTGAAACAGAGAGATGGTAAACTCACGTGTTGTTCACGTGCTAATTCTGTTTTTCGTTATTCATTGCCGCTAATCCCTGATTTCATTTCTTCTTCATACGCAGGTGAAATACAGCAACTTCAGTGGGAATTGTCTCGACGAAACGCAGAGAGGGACGCACTGAATTCGGAATTGGCAACGTTAACTTTGAAGGTCGAGGACTTGAGTGCCAGCGTCGCGGAAGCGCGGGCGCTCAACGAGAGTCTTAACGAGACGCAAACCAGATACGACGCGTTGTTGCAGATGTACGGCGAAAAGGTCGAGGAGAATCAGGAGTTGCGGCTGGACCTCGAGGACGTTAAGGAGATGTACAAAATGCAAATTGATCAACTTCTGAAACGGCAGAATTAACTTGGTTGGAAATGCAAAATTGATCAGAAACGAAGACTTATTGCGCGCAGCCTACAATTCTCTCTAGGAAACTTCAATTACACATACACACGCACGTTCGGCACGTTCTATCACATAATCATTTCGTCTGTTTCTAGCGAGATCCGGCATACAGTGAAGTTTTATAGCGGATAACTTTAATACACATAGTCCGGCGTAGGAGATGTATATTTATATTATCTAACGCAAACATATGCGGAAATTTGTGATAAAGGATTTAGATGCCCGATAAGATTTCAAATGAAATTATTTCTGTGAAGTTATATATAAATATATTTATTTTATTGAGGATCAGAGGTGAGAGAGATCTAAAAAAAAAAATGAATCGGAAGTATCCAAATTTGACAAGTCTTTTTCTTCCGCAGTTGTTACAGTTATTAGTATTCCTTGTATAGTTATTGTTTCATGTGTTTCAATTTTAATTTAATATCAGGGAGGATCATGTGATATTGGATTGTATTATATAATGTTTAAATATGATATTAATATGTATATAATATAATGAAAAAATGTACTTTATCATTTAAATATAGTGATATATAAACCATTAATGACTTCTCTATTGTGTGCAGCAGATCACACATAAATTAGGAATATCGGGTCCATATTTTTGATATTTATGTAAGCATAAATGAAAATGCATTGCGTCGAACATGTAATTTCTCTATAAATAATATCTCTGTAATACGCTTCAATATTACGTGGTTGGGATTTACGATGCATGGTAATTGTCTATTTCATGTCATGATATCACGCCTGCTTTGGTTATATTTAGAACAAGTCCAGTGCGACAAGATGCACCGCCCGTGGAGATCCGCGATTACCCGTGCGTTTCAAATGTCATAATTTTTCGGCAAAATCATCCGCGGTTACTGTCCAAATTTCTCTCGTGTATCGCCCGTTCTTGCCAGATTTTCGGTTTTTGTTATCTCGGTTGATTTCTAACATTCTGTGAGTATATATCCAAGATTATACATATGTATATCATGACATATTTTTTTCGATCTCTTTTTTTTTTCTCCGACCATAAATTATTTGCATGATTTTGAAAGATATATTAATTTTATAAAATTTCGTTATCATACGTAATTTTGTTTAACACTATATATTGCTTATAATTTAATTTATATGTGATAAAGTGTGTCGTTATAAAATAAACAAATTTCGAATTATATTTTTTCTGTAGATATATATATATATATTTTTTTTGTTTTTTGCATCGTATATCTTGAGTTTACGTTTGCAAAATATAATATATATTGTAAAGAGTCAAAATTTGTGCTTTTATCTCACATTTAATCCTCGACATTGAAATGTTTTGAGTTGAGGTTATAATATTAGGTTATGTGAAAGATGCATTTCTGTTGAAGCAGTAATGTAGTTATGTATTTAAGAAACATACCCTTTTGATGTGTATGATATGCTTTACTACAGAAGCATTTAACATGGGAGACTCAGCTTCGATAAAAGGACGCTTGACAGTTAATTCACAGAAGAGAATGCCAGATGTAATACTATATACCAGAGATGTGATGATTCCTGTTGTAAAACCTTTTAAGCAGAGCTGCAACATTCCCATCCCCGAGAGCAGGGATCACGTTCCGAGAACACGACAAATAAACTATAGAAACAATCCTCTATTACTATTTTCGGAGCCACCCTTGAACATACTATACAATCCATTGAAAAATTCGTCCGAGGTCAATCAATATCTGTATATCTTAAAACATATGTTTTCCCTTTTCCTTTGAACGCAATTTTGAGAAATACTAAAGATTTTTCGTTTAAAATGTTGATTTTTCTGTATCTGAAACTTGAAACTGCAGGTAAAAAGAGTCAGCCATTGGACTGCAGCCAAGAATCAAAGTATGAAACATACTGTTTTTCGCAAGATCGATTCTTCAAGCATCAAGAAAGCCAGTATTTCGCAAAACTCGTACCCATCACAGGGATTATCTCGCAAGGAGAGAAATAATGCATTACATTTTCCCAATACAATGTTCATGCAATTTGAACCATTGACAGACGACAAAGATTTGCACAGGGCAAGTTCAAGATCTATAAAATTATCAAGGAAGTGCGATCTGTCGCAGATAAAGGAAAGCCAGACAAAGCACGAAGACACGTTTGCATTTTTGCCGAAGATAGAAGTATCAGTTAGCAGTATCACGAGCAAACCAATTGTGTCATTACCAAGTCAATCGTTCTACAATATTATAGACACTTCCTCCACAGTGTCAACACAATCAGTGTCAAGCTTCAAGATTGGAAAGAAGAAAACATTTGCAAACATTGCGGATAAGAAGAAATTAACATCTGGTGTAGCATTGAATCATTTGCATCCTAGTAACAGCGAATATGAAATAAATGTTTTACATTACGAAAATGATATTCTGACAGGGGACAACTCTCCACAGTTTATGCAATCACATTTGAAGTCCACTAACACAAATTGCAGTTTAGCCAAAGAGAATGACAATGATAATTTTGCTAACGAGAGAAATGCAATAAAAAGTCAAGGATGGAATGAGGATAAAACTGTAGGTCGTGTTAAATATTCATGGGAAATGGACGATTGGGTGCCACCTTCAAAAAAAGAGCCCAACAACACACGTGAAATAAAATTTGCTGAGAAGAACGGCAAGAGTTATGACTGTAAAATAAAATATTCCTGGCAAGTTATTGGAACAAGCACGCAGACATCGTATACCTTATTGCAAGATTTATTAAATAATACAGAGGACAATAAATCCTCATACAAAATGTGCAGCATTAAATATTCCTGGCAAATCATAGGAATTAATACGCAAGCGTCTTTACACGATTATAACGATCCAGATTATTGGAGCGGCGTATTGTTGACACCAAATAAGAATTATAACGAAAACGAAGCTGAAATTGGCAATAATGAAATAGATTATGCTAAATATCGAAAAGGAAGACTGAAGAAATACTTGATATTAAACAATCAGCAGACCCAAACTTTTGCTGAAAAAGAAGTTCAAGCTGGCCCTAACGATTGCAATACCAAATATTCTTGGCACAACTTAATTACACAATATCTGTAATTAATATAAAAAGTTTAATGCAATTTGCAAAATATTAATATTTATTATACGTATTTAAATATTATCAATAATTATTTATATTAATTCCAATCATTGATTTTTCTTTCAGATATGGAACAAATTTTAGAAGCGTTGACCAAACAAAAACTATCAGATAAATTGGAGCTGGAGCAAATCGACAATTATGATGAATTATTACGCAGATACCTAATAAAGCCATTAACGCCAAATATTTCTAGTAAGAGTTCTGTGATATACGATAACGGTAATGAAAAGACGAGGAAGGAACTTCTGATGAGATTAATGTATGCATTAAAGAAATTAAATCAATGTGAACGAAATATCGATAAAAAGAGCACAGACGTATCGCGTCTCGATGTAGAAGATACTTTGGCACAAAAAGGAAACGTACTGCCACAGAATGTGGAAGAAAATATCAAAGGCATTATACAATCTACACAGGAATATATAGTAAAACTAGATTATCAATTGAAAGATCTCGACAATGCTGATCAGCAGGTAAATATTTTTACTTTAACTAAAATTGTTTCTTATTTTTATGACGATTGTATTAACACGAGGAAATTGTTGGAATTGTTTTGTCAGATAGAAAATAGTATGATGAGAACCTTAAAAGATATAGACGGGACGTTTCAATCTTTGTTAGATGATGTGTGCCACGAGATTAATAAGAGACGTGAACAGCTGATACTGGAGACTGAAATTCACAAACATGAGAGTCTGATACCATTGAGAGCTTGCAGAAGAGAGGTAGAGGCACAGGTGCTGAATGCACAGAATATTATATCGATGAGCGAAGGTATTCTACAGCATCCGCATCGATACAACGCGAACGGATTTGGAAAGATAATGTCTGCAAGTAATGATATAGGCAGGTGAGAATTTCGCGATTCTAATATAAGAATTTTTTTTATAGAGATTACTAGATTACAGAAATTAAATTTAAAAAATTATTTTGAAGGATTCCAGCAGTGCCATATTCCGATGAGCTTCCAAATATAAACTTTGATCGTCCATCGAATCCATTGTACAAAGAAGAGATTGTAGAGCAGATATCGAAACTCGGATCCATCTCTCGCACAGTACCTGTTCAAATAATGAACATCGAGGAGAGACCAGCGGGCTTATTCGTTAAATGGCACATAACTAATCCGGAATACTTCGCCGAGGAACAGACGTTTGTCGTAGAGAAAGCTAACGGAGAGATTCTCGACCCGGCATCGAGCAAGTTTGAAACGGTGTACAGAGGATCCGAGACCTTTTGCTTCATCAGAAATATACCTGTTGGTAAACCAGTTACACTCAGAGTCAGAATACAAGCAGATAACGTCGCAATGAGTGTCCATCATGTTACACGAACTTTTATACCACCATACAGTATGTATCGTTATTTAAAGATTGTAAATCCGATCTGAAATAATTTTTGGATTGGAGAAAGAATACTTGAAAATCTTTTTGCGTTTCATATGAGATATTAATGTAATAATTAAAAAAATCACAATGATTACAGGCTGGGAACTTGACAACAAGAATTACATGATCACCAATAATAAAACTGCTGCGAAAGTCACAGATACTATAAGCACGCTGTTTTCGCAAGGTCCTCAATTCGACGAAAATCACATAATTGAATTTAAGGTAATTATACGCAATGTAATTTTATTTACATTTTTTTCGTCTACGTCTTTTAATTTACCTATCATAACAGTTTTTAGAAGTTCCGCAAGAAGAAAACGACGACGAAGGTATCGCGTTGGTTTATGATCCGCAAGGTGGTCACGACTCTTTGAAAAGAGCAGCGGCGCTGATGATAACGCCTCAAGGCAAGATCTTCATGGACGGCGACGAGAAACTGATGCGCCTGCCGAGAATGCGTTGCGGTGCGGTCATCATGATCTCTGCCTTCCGGAAAAACGCTCACGTGTTGCGAGTGAATATCGAGTCTGAAAACAAATGCGTCACGTATGATTGGCGCGTACAAACGCCGCTGTATCTTGCCGCCCGGTTTACAGAGCCGAAAAAGTGGCGTCTAACGATCGAGTGAGAAAATACGCACGAGATCGAGAGCGGGAATACGCAATTTATTTTTATTACAGAACACACAAAACACAATATGTAATATTTTGTGGCAATAAAGGGAAAGTGCCTTACGTCGCATTCAACCGGAACATCCTCTGCAGCCGCAGTGTATGCATTCCACTATCCGGCCTTCCTCGAGCTTGCCCTTCGGCACTCTGCAGATGCAGTTCGTGCCGAAATTCGTGTCTCTCGTCTGAATGCAGCGCAGGCAGCACAAGTTTTCATAGCCGACCTTCTTCCATTTGGCGATCAAGTTTTTGTCAGCGATATTCTCGTTCAAACAGTAGTCGTACAATTCTGAAGAAAATAAGTAAAAGCGCAAAGTTATCAAATGTGATCCTTTAGATCCTTTTTAAGGGACGATTGTTCTTTATGGCACTTTAATTTACCGCGACTGATCGCCTTTCTCCTGTAAAACAAGTCGTATATGTATCGAGATTTCTGATGATGAATTTTAAATATCGGCCACAGGGATTCCTGTTTTCTCTTGCCTTCGTGAGGCTCCGTCTCGGCTGTAACAAAACAAATCTCATCTTAAGGCATCCTTATGAAATCGAAGTATGTATCGAAGCAATTAAATCTAACCTTACGAAGAGCAAACACATACCTTCGCGCATCTTTTGCTCCAATTCCTCCAGAGTCGGTTCGATTAGCTCCCAACCATCCGGCGGCGGTTTCTTGCTTCGTCGTACTTTCGGCATGATTTCTGTTAAATAAATATATTTCAAGAAGTTGCGTTAAATGAAAGCAGCGACACACAAGTACGCTACGCTACGCTATTCCACGCTATCTACACAAACACACGTTTACTCCTTGTATGATATAGTATGTATGATGAGCATGTATACATTTACACTTTCGTGTTGTACTTTCTGCACTTACCGTGTAACTAGACGTCAGAGAGTCAAGAGCAAAAAGACAAAATTAACCTAAAAAGTTTAATTACAAAGAACAAATCTAATAATTAGAGAGAAAAAGATAAAAAAATACAGAAGCTATTCAATCGAACAACAGATTAATTTAACCGGCAGAATTGTTTATTGCAAAATTTCCAGCAATATAATTCGTTATTCTGTTTCTTTGGACAAATATTCATGCAGGCATGCTATTGGCTGCCGAGAGTCATAAGGTGCTATTCATGAGACGTCGGCATGAAAAGGTACCTTCATACCTTCATGGGATAATTGTGCGAGAAACCAATAAATATTTTAATAAGTTAACTGTTTTTTTTCTCTTTTCTCTCGTTTCCAGTCGATTATCTTAAGAGGAGAAAAAGAGGAGAGAGAGAGAGAGAGACAGAGACCAGAGCGAGGCAGGGAAGAGGAAAAGAGGAAGGGCGCTCTTCTTGCCGCTCGTCCGAGTGAACAAATTATTTATCGCACGCATTTTTTATAGTACTTTTTTTTACGCGTGCTTGCATGTTATCTGAAGAATCTGCGTAGTTATATTTCGCAAGAATAAATATAAAATAAGTATTTATCTCCGCGTATGTGCGTATGGCGATACCACGTACGTGCCACATGAGATCATTAATCATCCGTTGTAACTATAAATATATATATGTTTATACAGATAATTTCGTATATAGAATGTCCTGAAATCACCGAACGACATTTCGCTCTTGAGTTTTATTTGTTCGAGAGAAAAGAAAATGATCGTTGACGATTAATCGGAGCGGCTTTGGTAATTTAAGGACCTTCATTAATACAAATGAAATAGCCCACGCAATCCTCTTATACCTCCTCCTCTTTCGATTTATTCAAATTTACTTATAAAAATACAAGACAAAAAATATAAGAATTTATAGGCATTTATGAGGCACGTGTATATCGAAATGAATTTTAAAATTGCCTTATTTTTCTAAAGTCTTTATCTATTTTGCAACATTTTAATTACGTTCGGCGAGCGTGCTATCAGCTGTTATCAGTACGTCATTTTGTCTTTAATTATTTTACGTTTCATAAACGATAAAGATAATGATGCCATAGCGCTGCCAGAGCGCCGAACGTAGCATAAAAGGGCGACTCCATAATCCATATTCTAACGCAAGATACGTGACTAACAGAGCATACCGAGTGGTATCAGGACACCCTGTATAACGGCAAGTAAGAAAAACAAGAAAAAAATACCGGCAATTATTAGGTAATGTGACGAGTCGCAGAGTTCAAGGGTGTGTATACGTAGCGCGTGTTTACTTCTTGTCTTGTTGACGATGCCACTCGGCTCTACTATCCATCGTCGGAATTAATCAGGATTAATTTCAACTTTGCCTTTTGTACGAAAACTGTCAGGGAAAAATGGGCCAGCGAGTATCGAGGACGGATTTCGAGTGGGTCTACACCGAGGAGCCGCATGCCGCGCGGCGTAAAATAATTCTAGGTATGACAATCGCCGGGAGTCCTGGTTGCATGATCGATATTTATTTATGACAATTATTTTTGATGTAAATATTTGAAAACCGCTCTCGTGGAATATGAGGTTAGTTCTAAAGCTAAGAGCTAAATTTTGAAAGGCTAGACACGTGAACCACGCCTATTCTGAAAACTATCTTCTGATCGGTTATCTTTGTGATAAAAACACTTTGATTTGGATATATACGAAAGCAGTATCGCGAAACATTAACTGAACTTATATACAATATCTTTAATTCATTGTTTAAAATATTAAGTATTATTTTTAGGATATACTTAATATCAGTTTATTGCAGCTATTTGATATTGTAACAATTTATAATGTATGACAAGAAAAATTAGACAAATTTGTCTAATTATGATAATATTTGAGAAATAAATATATTTTGCTTTTCATATGCAGTTTATCAAATTTTATAAATTCTATAGTAAAGTCACATATATTTAAAAAATATGAAAGATTGATATTTTATATTTTAGTTTGAATGATATATAGTACTATGATTTATTTAATTGTCAGTTTTTAAATGTTTCTCTTACAAATAATATTTTCTATTTCAGAGAAATATCCAGAAATTAAGCAGTTGTTTGGCTATGATCCAAATTTCAAATGGATTGTCACTGGAATGGTATTAGTGCAGTTTCTATCGTTGTTTATCGTTAAAGATTTGAGTTATCCAAAACTTTTGCTATTAACATACTGTTTTGGAGGTGTGATAAATCATTCTCTTATGCTTGGTACGTACACATTTAATTTTCATTAATGCAGTAAAGCCACAATTTAACATGTATTATGCACATATCCTGATTTTAATACATTAACATTTCTGACATATGTATTATGTTAAATTTTGTTACATCTTGCTTTACAGCGATACATGAGATAGCTCATAATCTTGCCTTTGGACATGCCAGGCCTATGGCTAATCGACTGTTTGGCTTTTTTGCAAATCTGCCAATAGGAATACCGATATCAATCAGTTTTAAAAAATATCATCTCGAACACCATCGTGTGAGTATTGCAAGCAATAAAAATTTATAGTAAAAGTTGTGAATTATCTTTCATCTAGTAATGTTATATTTTTAATTATATTTATAAAATATATTTGTTACACTTTTAGTATCAGGGAGATGAAAAATTAGATACAGACTTGCCAACATTATTAGAGGCGAAATTATTTTGTACAACTTTTGGGAAATTCTGTTGGATACTATTACAACCATTTTTCTATGCATTCCGACCTTTTGTAGCGTATCCAAAAATACCAACTTCCCTTGAGTATATAAATGTAGTTATACAATTGACGTTTGATGGCTTACTTTGGTACTTTTTTGGTAAGTTTCAAAATTTCAAAAACACAATTAATAATATAAATTAGTGTAATTGTGAAATTTAATAAATAAAATCTGATTTTTAGGCGGTAAAGTATTGTTTTATCTGATTATTGGGTCTCTTCTGGCAATGGGATTGCATCCGGTGGCAGGACATTTTATATCGGAACATTATATGTACAGAAAAGGTTTTGAGACATACAGTTATTATGGCCCTCTAAATTTCATTACTTTCAATGTTGGATACCACAATGAACATCATGACTTTCCTGCGGTGCCTGGTTCGAGATTACCAGAAGTATGTTAAAATTCACTACAGTTTGGATACGATTATTATACAGCAATATATAATTGGTTATTATTTCAACTGTTTTATATAGGTAAAACGTATAGCCGCAGAATTTTACGATAATTTGCCGCAGCACAATTCGTGGGTTTCTGTTTTGTACGATTTCGTGGTGGATCCTGAAATTGGACCATATGCAAGAACGAAGAGAAGGCATCGAGGATTGGATGGATAGATTTTCTAAGCTTCTTAGCTTTTTTAAGAATATATCAAATAAGATTTATACATTATCATTTCTGCATATTGCTAAGCAGAATTGCATATTTATTATGGCACAATTAAAAAATTGCTATGCTATTCGGGATAATACATGAGGGCTTATGCTGAAAGGTATATAAGCATATTTGCCTGCATTGTAATGTAAATTCAGGGAAAATTTAGAGATAATAATCTATGGGCAAGCAAAATTTTTCAATTCTTCTATTAAGTTGTTCTCGTCTCATGAAAATTTTGAATCTTATTTCTAGTCACTGCGAATAACTTTTGATTAATTATTCGTGTCAGTTAATATGCAGTATTCTTTTCTGTTCAATAAAGTAGAAAAATGGGCATTCTAATGCAATTTTGATCAACTGAAACTGGCTATCATTTTTATTTTATCTAATATATAATATCTAAATTAATTACAATTTTATAATACTAATACCATTAAAGTTCTATCTTGATGTGATTGTACAGAATACAAAACTTTCAATTAAATGTTAGCTCATGAAAATTGGATATAATTTTTCCCGGAACAATTTAATCTGCATTAGTTAAAAGCTCTGTGTATCTTACAGAGTAAAGGGGATCTGTGATGCAAGAATATACTCTATACTTCGATATATCACATTGTTAGCGAAAAGTCAGATCTACTGAGAAACGCGTGATATATGCCATATAATATAAAATTATATATATATCGCTTTAATGAAATATGAATTAATATGATATACACAGATTATTCATTGAATAACTGTATATTTTCCAATAAATTTAAGAACATTGAAACAGAATGTATATAGAAGATTATGCCAAGTAATCTTCATTTTGTTTTATTTTATACCAAAAGCTTGTTATATACTGATCGTTTTCCAATAAATATACAGCATGAGAGGATGTACAAGATAAAAATGCAAGTTTAAATTGGCGCGGTTCTCGTGTAATTTTAATCCAGAAATCTATCTTTATTTAAAAAGATAAACAGATGGCGTTAAAGTTCGCCCATGCTTTTTAAAGAGCATCCTACATATGTGATTGCATGGTTAGAATTTTGAGAAAAATATGTAAAAACATTTAACGTTTGTTAAGTACGTGAATAAATCGTCTACGTTTTGTATACAAAATATATTTTTACTAAATATTTGCATGTTCAAGTTAAATGATCTAAACAGAAAACCTAACCTTTGTTAGAAAAGAATTATTAATGATTTTAAGGTTAATCATGTAAGCATTGGGATCTTTCTAATAAGTTACATATTATTTTACGTTTTGAATCAGTGACAGCAATTACACGTATTATTTTATAATAAATATTAGAATACTGCGTCATGTATTCAAGTGCACGTATTTATTGAAGTTTTAAAAAATTTCAGAATTTTTTCTTAGAAGATGAAGAAAGGATTCAATGATAATTTCACCACTGGTGAAACCACCACTGGCGTTAGACAGAAGTGGTACGAGGAATATCAGAAGGCGGAAAGACCTTGCAAGCACTCCAAATCCGAGGCCGACGTTCTGCATTTAAGGGATGAGGGGAAGAAGTATCTGGACGCGGAGACCGCCGCCTTTCAGTCGAAGCAATCCAGATCGCACGACTCGGAGACAAAGTGGTTGAAAACGGCACTGCAACGGGGCACCACCTCGGATAAGGTAGCAGCCAGTATAGTGCTGGTGCAGGATAATCCGAAATGTAATCTCGGTCGTCTGGTGTCCCTGGTATCCCAGGTGCGGGGCGCCAAGCACAATCAATGTGGCATGATTATCGCGTCGTTGAAAGAACTCTTCCTGACCGATCTGTTGCACCCTGAATTCAAATTATTGAAATTAGAAGAACAGGATTTGGACAGGCTCGATGCGGAGAATGGATCGGATTCCATCGTTAGGACGAACGCCGCTAGGAATAGATTGTTGGCGCACTGGTACTTTGAGGATCAACTGCGCGAGCAGTACGAACGTTTTGTTCTGAATTTGTCCTCGGTGGCCTCTGATACGGTAGATACAAATCGTGAGAAAGCGATATCGGCGATGGCCGATCTGTTGGTGGGTAACGCCGAGCAGGAGCACAAGTTGCTGGAGCTACTTGTGAATAAAATTGGTGATCCGAGCAGTAAGGTCGGCTCCAAGGCTGTATTTTGTATCAATAAATTATTGCATGAGCATCCAAATATGAAGCTCGTAGTCTTGCGCGAAATTGAGAAATTGCTATTTAGAAAAAACGTGAGCCAGCGTACTCAGTATTACGCTATATGTCTGTTAGCGCAATACGTCTTGGATAGAAACGACGAAGGAGCAGCTGCTACACTGATAGAAGTGTACTTTGCATTTTTCAAAGCGTGCTTGAAGAAAGGGGAACCCGACAGTAGAATGATGGCAGCAATTCTAATGGGCGTCAATAGAGCGTATCCTTTTGCCAAAATAGACTCGAAGATATTAAATGAACACATTGATTCCATCTACAAAGTGGTACACCTTGGGTCGTTTAATGTCTCTCTCAATGCACTCAGCTTGTTACATCAAGTAAGTATCATGGAATATTATTTGCAAACAATGTTTGTGTATTGAATATTTATGTTTCCAGCTTGTCTAAAGAAAGCAATTGCCTTTTCAGATAACAGGCAAAGATGAGTCTCAGGCGAACCGATTTTATTCGGCCTTTTACAAGAAGCTGTTAGATCGGCAAATAGGAGTAGCGAATAAACATGCGGTGTTTCTTAACTTGTTATATCGAGTTCTTCAGAGAGATCAAAGCATACTACGTTTGTACGCTTTTATCAAAAGAATCTTGCAAATTATACTCTATTTTTCACCGAATATGGCATGTGCCATGTTATACATTGTCTCCAAAATTCTTCAAGGACGCAAAGATCTAAAACATATGTTTCTCGAATCACATAAAGCTATTAAAGTCGAAAATGACGTGTGTGAAGTAAACGATATCTCATCGGATACGGAAGACGTTAGTGTAGTAGAAAATGAAGACTCCATTATGATATCGAATATCACGATTGGCGCAGATGCCGAAACAAAGCCTGATGTGAAAAAAGAGATCGATGTAAAAGTTGAGATGCAAGATACAAAGTCTTATGATCCTTTTTGCCGAAATCCTTTGTATGCGGGTGCAACAAAAGGGCTCAACGCTGAGCTTGAAGCATTGTCTAGGCATTTCCATCCGAGCGTCGCTTTATTCGCGAATCAGATCATTCAAGGTACAGATTTTTAACTTTCGATATCGTTTACTATTTATAAAATGTTTTATATTTTTACAGGAAAATCCATCGAGTACACAGGCGATCCTTTGGAGGATCTGACATTAATTCGATTTTTGGATCGGTACGTCTTTAAGAATCCGAAAAAGTTGGAGGACAAGAGGGTGCAGAAAAAGAACGATCCCTTGGCGCAACGCGCCGGATACACACCTAAGGGTATACGGGCCCTTCCGGTCGATAGCGCAGCGTATCTCGACGAAAGGGAGGAGCGAATACCGGTAGACGAGTTATTTTTATATCGATATTTGAAGCAGAAGGACGAGGTCAAGAAGCGTGACAAGAAAGAAGACGATGACGAAGATGATGAAGATGCAAACAGCGTTAACAGCGAAGAGTTCAATGACATGTTGGATCGTATGGGCGCTGCCCAAGATTTCGACGATTTAGATATCGCGGCGGATATTCTACCTAGGAAGAAGAAAGGTAACATGATATTTTTGCACATAAATTTATATGAGATGGGTTTTGCTGATTCATTTATAATAAAAAAAAATCTGCTCGAGTTTTCCGCAGTGTTTTGTCTAGGAACTATGAACAATATACCTTACTACTAATGACATTTGTAACAGGTAAAGCAAATGAAGATTCTGACGATGAGGACGAGGATAACGAAGATAACATCAGTCAATCCGATGACGATATGAATGATGCATCCGAAGATCTTGATGAAGATGTCGCGGATGAAGATGACGACTTGCAAGATCTGAGCGATATCGATCTTACAGACATAGATGATGAAAATCTGAGCGATATGGAGTTTAACGGTTCCGAGGACGACGAGACTGTAGACGACGAATTAATTTCGAGTTTGAATAAAAAGCTGAATGCGAAGGTTCCGAGAAACAAGGAAAAGAAAAAAGGGATCGATAGCAGTATATTCGTATCGGCAGAAAAATTCGCTGAGATGTTGGAGGAAGAAAATAAAACGAGGGGAAAGCATGGTGGTAGTAACGTTTTTAGCAGTAGTGACGGTGCTAGCGCTAAGCAGATAGATTGGGAAATAAAACGGCATCAACGGATGAAAGGATCATTTGGGAAGAAGCGAAAGTTCGTTCAATCGTCTAACAATAATCGGGTTAAAAAATTCAAACGATGAATATGTGATAAACGCATTTCATAGACAATTTTACATTTCATTACAATGTCAACTTTTCTTTCCAATGTCTATTTTAATTTGAAGGAAATACTATAAACAATATGAAATAAAACGTATAATAAATGTTATTAGTATTTATATAAAAGCACTTGTCTTCTCGTGAAATTTAGGATATGTCCGCCATTACAAATACATTTCGCTTATACATTCGTTATTGCGATTAACAATTTATTTTTAACACATTTCTCTCATTAATGTGAATTTTGTTTTTGGTACAAGGTGATTTAGGTTAATGCAATGCAATGTTTTAAATGTGAATAAGAAAAATATCAAATTAATTTTACATGTTTAATAGATAAATTAATATAAGCAAATAATATCAAACATAATTGATTTCTTCAGGACTTATTCTTATATTGTGCTTTTAAGTATATTAATTTCATTTAATGTGTTTTTGCATATTCTCTTCAGTAACATGACAAAAAAAAAAGAAAATGAACAATTTGAACAAGAACTCGAGTATTATTTGTGCACAAATACAGATTTCACACTTTTTCTGTTGACAAACTTTGAATAGTTGCAATTCAGCTAGCAGTCTTGTATCTAATGGCTGAAATATTTTTCAGCCAATCAAATATTATGCAAAAAATCAATTTTCTTTGCATTGTTTTTTAATTCTTTGCCAATAATTAAAATGATTCTATGTGATACATAAATACTATTTTAACTTGTGCTTTTATTTATTTACTTGAACTTTAAATCTATCTCTTGTTAAAATTGTAGTTAAAATAGCAGATAGCTCTGATACTAGTGCAACAATATTTTATATAACCGTGTGATACACATGAAAAAAACCAATAATTTAGCAATTAGAAAGAACCTGTGCTGAAAGCATACAAATATTTTTAATGTGAAATATATGTTTGAAGATACCTGTGAAGTAAGATTTTTACATGTCAATGAAGAATTATATAATTATTTAAAATTACATTTTTAAACTTCAAAAATAGAATTATCAATTAGTGACACTGTGCGAACAGTAACGTAGCTTTCTTTTTTTGTTTTTACTTCCTTCAATTCTTTCTACCTTACTTATTCCTATCAATGAGGTTCGAAAAATGTTTTATATATTTATTTCTTACCTACAAAAGTTAGAAAACTCGTAATTAATAAGATAATTGTTACAGTGGAATACTTTGCGATGATAAAAATAAATCATGAAGGAACGTTATATGCTACTCTAGGTCAGGTTTCGTCGAGTCCTCATCGTGAGCTGGGCTGTGCCACGTGAGTCGTTCTTCGTAAAATTTGATTACAATCTGAGGGCATTTCTCGTTAGCGATGCGCGCGGGTACCAGGTCTGCATCATCCGTCCCCTTCCACTTCATTAAAAACATCAGCTCGCCGCTGGAATCTGTGGCGCCAATAATACGTTCGGGTTCCAGATTTCTATCGAATCCTATAAAATGAAAAGCATATTTGCAAATAGATTGACATTCTAAATTTCTCTTCTAGTTCGCTTTAACGAGGAAACACAGGTAAAAATGGAAAAGAAAAAAAAACCAAAATATATTGAAAAAAATTTTCGATAGCTTCCCTTTACCTTCCAGCTTCTTTTCTTCCACTGCTGTCTTTTTCTTAACTTGAGTGGGCGTCGGAGTATTATTGCTCTTTCTTTTTTTCTGCTCCTTCTCTTCATGTCGTTTTCCAGAAGCAGCTGCTTCTTTCTTCTTGCGCTGTTCTTCAAACTGGGCGATCAGATCTGGACAATCTAGGTTTTCTTCTGGCTCCCATGTATTTTCATCGTTTGAATAGCCTTTCCATTTCAGGAAGTATTCGACCTGTAATTCAATTTTTTTTTAAATTAAAATAATGCACTTTAATCATTAATGGTTGTGAGATGTCATGCAGCAAGATCTTACGTACTTTTCCCTTTACGACTCTTCTGTCCAGAACTTTTTCAACGCTGAATTCCTCTTCCGTCTCGTTGTCAGTTGGAGGAGATTCCTTTATTTTACTCATTGTGACCTTATCGTCTGCAAATGTGAAAACTAAATAAGTCTCTCTTCGTAAATACTTATAAAAACTGAAAAATCGTACGTAAAAAGAGATATTTTATTAGAAATAAATAAATATTAGAAATAAAAGAGAATTGGAAGCTTAGGCTTATACAAGGGTACGAACGAGATCAATCGAAACTAGAGGCAAACAGAGGCCAATAGAATAGGCAATGAGATTTAATCGAGTAGACGTCAAAGCAAGGGATTGTCGTTCTTTCGTTTGTCACGTAAGAATACGACAGGCTTCTCTCGGATCGCACGCTTGGAATTGTAAAAACAAAAGAAAGGAGAAACTACGCAGAGATGCGAACCGGTGGTACCGGCGCCGCGGCGTGGCGCGGTACGGCGTGGCGTGATGCGCGTTCGCTTCGCATCCATCGCGTAACGGGTGCCGTGACGCGAATCAGAATAACGGCGGGCGAGTGAGACGCGAACGAGGAGTCATTATGCGCGGGCGAGGACGCGTGGAAATTACAATATCGCAAGATCGACCGTGGCTCGGCGGTTTGGTTCAAGATGGCGGCGGCGACGACGCGTTTCGCCGGTGCTCCTCCTCCTCTCTTTTTCGGAGTCGTAGGAACCGCCTGTCCTGTGCGCGTGACTTGCGACTTCGAGACTGTACTCCAAAACGCAGGGACTCACCTGAGTTTCTACGTCTAACTTGAATCTCTTGCCTATTCTTAACACTCTCTCTTCGTTTAATTCAAGCGTCTATCAAGGCATCCGCAGGCATCTGAACCTGAAACTGCCTGAAATCGTGCGAGTCGTGCGCGCGGTACGCGTTGCCGCGAAAAGTGTCAGGTTGCCCAAACTGTCAGCTTGAAAATCGCTGCGTAGCAATAATGGCTGCCCTACATTTTTCTAGTACTTTTCGCGTCTGAGACAGCTGCAAGCTGATTGGCTACGCGGGTCGCGGTTCGTTTTTGGACTGATTTCTAGTGCCGTGGACACAACAATCAACGCACTCAACACAAAGTGTTTTGCGTGAGACGTGGAGTGGCGAGGCAAGGTCAGTTTTGGGTGCATCTCGAGGGTATCGTTAAAATAGCATTCGCAAAGGTAACTGCGTATTGAAGTAAAAATATGCGTTAAGCGATTCTTCGAGACTCAGAGCCGGCGATCGAAGAGCTGATTTCCGTAATATTTACAGCGAAACAATACGACGAGATGGCTGCCCGTTCGATTTTAAGGTACCTGAAACCCAAGCCCGTAATATTTCAAAGTCAACGATGTGCCTCTCTATCCGGCTTCGATATCCAGCACAAGACTCCCACCATCAAGAGGGTGATGCCCATACCGAAGGCCCATTACGGTGGCAGGCATACCGTTACCATGCTGCCTGGAGCAGGCATCGGACCCGAGTTGATGGGTTATGTAAAAGAGGTGCGTATGGATATCATCCTTGAGTCCGTGGCTATTAGCTTCTTTTTCTTCTTCCTTAAGGGATTAGTGGTAGTTAAGTTTATAGCTAAAAAGAAGCACTTTTTTCAAAGATTTATTGATACTTTTAATTTAAAAAATTTTAATGCATTATAAAGTAAGTTTTAAGGAATGAAAATTTAGAAAAATTTTCATGTAAAAATATTCATTTTTTTGGGTATAACAGCTGATAGCGTGGACGGCCTTTTAAGGAAGGTGGCTTGCGATGAGTAAGATTTCTCGGGATTGGATCATTTGTAAGTAAAAATACGGATGGATTTAGAAAATATATTAGTTTTGCGGGTCCCTGATTGAAGGATTTTAGAAAAAAATTAATTAGAAAGAAAATGGATATTTGGAAGTGAAAAGTCAATTTTTACCTAAAAAAGCGTTTATTTTGAGAATAAAAAAAAGTATATAAGAACATCCTTTAATCAGGAACCTGAGAAACCAATATATTTTCTAAATCCATCCATTTTTGCTTACAGATGATCCAGTCTCGAGAAATCTTTCTCATTACAAGCTATATATCTTCTTTAAAGGCCGTCCATACTATCAGCTGTTATGCCCAAAAAAATGAATATTTTTATTATACATGAAAATTTTTCTAAACATTCCTTAAAACTTACTTTGTAATGCATTAAAATTCTTTAAATTGAAAGACTCAATAAATCTCTGAAAAAAATTGCAAAAAGATGCTTTTAGCCTGCTGGCTAATCCCTTAATGGGACCTATCCTCAGGCAAAGTGTTAATTCAGCCCAAATTCTTTAAGCGGATTGATGAAATACTAAGTCACTTAGTGAAATACTAATGCGAAAGTATATGAATACAGAAACGTTGCGAAGATTCTGGAAGATTCCAAAATGCTGAATAACTCTGCCACGGATGCCCTCCCCAAGTTTGTGGCTCGCGCACGAATCCGAGATTCTTAAAGTCGATAAGATAAATTACTAAATCACATAATGAAATACTAAAACGCCGTGAAAATTCTAGAATCACTTGATCACGGACGTCCACCTCAGTCCGTGGCTCGCGTACGAATCCCTCCGTGACTTTTAGCGATGCAAGAATGTGTTACATAGGAGGAGTGATCTTCCTGTCAATCCTCCATCTAGAACTGCTATTGGAAGTGAGATTTACGATTTATTTGTTTACAGGTTTTTAAATACGCTGGCGTACCAGTGGACTTCGAAGATGTCGAGATTGATCCCAACGCGGACGACAACGTCGATTTAGATTATGCAATTACGTCGATACGCAGAAACGGAGTGGCTTTGAAGGGAAACATCGAGACACACAGCACGGAAGCCGGCGTCATGTCTAGAAATGTCGCCCTGCGAAACGAGCTCGATCTTTATGTGAACGTTCTGCACTGCGTTTCCTATCCGGGCGTGAACTCACGTCAGAAGAACATCGATATCGTTATCGTGAGGCAGAACACCGAGGGCGAGTACTCCATGTTGGAGCACGAGAGTGTCAACGGCGTTATCGAGAGCATGAAAGTCATCACGAACTTCAACTCGGAACGCGTCGCTCGCTACGCGTTCGAGTACGCCAAGAGGAACGGCCGCAAGAAAGTCACGACGGTCCACAAGGCGAACATTATGAAGCTGTCGGACGGACTTTTCTTGGAGATCTCACGGCGAGTTGCCAAGGATTACCCGGATATCATCCACAATGATATGATCATTGACAATTGTTGCATGCAGCTCGTGTCGAATCCGCATCAATTCGACATTGTGCTGACGACCAATCTGTACGGCGCCATCGTGTCGAATGTAGTGTGCGGTCTGTTGGGCGGCGCCGGATTGTTGGCCGGCAAGAATTACGGCGGTCACTATACGATTTTCGAGCCGGGCACTCGTAACACCGGTACCAGCATCGCCGGCAAGAACATCGCGAATCCAATCGCGATGCTGAACGCCGCGGTCGACATGCTGCGTCATCTGGGCCACAAACATCACGCCTCTGTTATCCAGAACGCGATCAACAAGACCATCAATCAAGGGGTGCACACCCGTGATCTCGGTGGCACCGCAACGAGCAGAGACGTCGTCGACAATATTTTGAAGCACATAAAAATCGCGACCGCTTAAAAAGACTGTGACGATTAGATCGTTGTTCTAGAATGAAATCTCTTGTAGCAGCTGTCCATGGAAAGTGGCGAATTCAAAGTACATATACCAAGAATCTTATGTGATTTTTAGTGAGATAACATAAAAGAATCATACGGTAAGCTAGTTAGGACAATTGCAAAAGGAACGTTCCGACAATACGCGATAAAATGAAATTTCATCTATTCGCTCAAAACTGCAAAATATTTCTGTTTCACAAAAAAAATCTGCTTTCAAATAATTGGATGGATTTTGGCTTGCTTGGTTTGAATCACAAATGTGTTCTGTAATATATTGTTCGATAATTGGAATTTTATAAAATATTCACTGTATATTGTAAGTAGTAGCAGTTCCTATAGATGAATTTACCAAATATTATCACTGTGAGAGTAACTTGTATGAATTGTAAAATACTGGTTACACCTTACCATTACAAGAATACTCACTAATGTTTGCGCGATAAGAAAACGATCATAATTTATTCTGACAAATATTCATATTTGCCGCCTTAGTACAATTTTATCTAGTTAAATTAAAACTATGACAAAATGTAAAATTACACTTTATTGTTAAGATAATCGTTGCATATTGTAAAGTGTACATACCGCCACGTTCATAAAAATAAAATGTATAAATTTACATTTCTCTAAAGACGCGCTTGCTAATTCTGTAATAACTGTAACGCTAATTCCTCGTCGGCCTGTAGATCGGCAATATTCGATACTTTTTGTTTCTTCTTGGTTCCCTTGTACTCCTCTTGCGTTACCAATTTTCTTTTGAACGGCCTGTAACAGAGAGAGTTATGTTTAAATTTTCTAATACGACTTATAAGTACAAATTATGTGATTTTTACCTGTGAACTATGCTTTCTTCCTCAGATTCTTCGTCTTCTTCAGACTCATTGGCAGACGATACTTCTTCGTCTTTATCTTGTTGCTTGCCGTATATTTTATCTGGATCAGGTAACCATGAGAGATCTGGATCTTCACTAGCTTCACTTTCGCTACCGTAATCATCGCCTGTGTCTCCGCCCTCTTCGTCGTTTGTTTCTGCCTTTTTAGTAATCTTCAGTTTCCTCTTCTCCTCTCTGTGTCTTTCTTTAATCTTCTCTCTGAATCTTTGTTTATCGAACTGATCCTCCTCGCGCAAAATTTGCTTGGCCATCTCGATATTAATGCCAGAATCGACTTCATTCTCGTATTGCCGTGCTAATTCTGACATTTTCATTTTGGCAGAATCGACTAATTCCTGAAGCAAATATTTTCATATGAGCAAGCAGGTAAACGACCGAGCAAGAAAATTCGAAAAGAAACAATTAGTTAGACAAGATATGCTCTAGCTTTTGCTATCTCAAAATTGTATAAAACTACAAATTATAAGTATAGTTTGTGTTGCACAAAATTCATAATAATGCATAATATAATTCTCACTTGGCCCTCATCATCAAATACAGTTTTCTTATTGGGTACAATCTTCTTTCTGAGAATCTTCTTGGCCAATGCAACTTTTGTAACAGATTTCTTTTTGTTCGACGTCTTATCTTCATTCTCTGTCATAGGAATATCATCGACATCTATATTTTTTCTCTTTATAGTCAATATGTCTTCGTCGTCACTATCATCTAAAAAAAATTATAATTACACACAGTTAATTTCTTTTATGAATAAGGGGAACAAAAAATAAGGAATCTATATAGTTCTAATATCTATATGTTTATAATATAAAACATTTTTTTCGATTTTCTTACCAAACTGAAGAGCAGCAGTATTTTTTTCTTTAACTATTCTTTTTTCATTATTTTTATTATCAGGAATATCACTTTTGTCAGAGTTATTTCCGCTATCTTCCTGTTCGCTGTTATCTGCCGATTTAAATGAAATTTGATCTATTTTTTCTTCAGTCTTAACGTTACTATTATTCGACATTTTTTTCTGCATTCTTTGTAAAAATCGGATTCTCGGAGGTATGGCTAAACCTAACGATCTGTAATAAAATTTTACTATAAAAGAATCAATACATATAACGATTCATATTCAACAATTTCTTAAGTGCTTACTTAGCATATGCGTCTGTGTTTAAAGCATGCACATCGAAGATTTCTTTATCCTTCATTAGGAAAACTGATTTGATATATGTTACAAAGGCTCTCTGAGCTGTTTCTTTCAATGTCACATCTCGCGCTAATAAAGCTTCCAGCTTACGATGTGGCGATTGCAGCTTGTTTGGATTTATCCTAGACATATATAGAGATATGTGAGTAACGAGTATGAATATGTTAGAGTAAAATAATATATATATATATATATATATATATATATATATAATATATATATAAGCCTTACTTTATCATATTTATTGGAATTTTACGTTGCGTAAGTCTCTCGATTATCGCTTCTTCGGATGATAACAAAACTAGAAGGGATTCACCACCACTTTTAAATCTGGCGGTTCTGCCTGCTCTGTGTATATAAGCGTTGACATCTTCCGGACAATCCATTTGAACCACCCAATTTACGGCAGGGAAATCTGCAAATTTATAATTATTACAATTATTAAAATTATAAAACAATAGGAAATTAGTAGTTTTTAATACAATAAGAATTTCTTTGGTACAGAAATTTGTAAGTATTCTGAATTTGCAGAACAGGATTCAGTTACCTAATCCACGGGCAGCGATATCAGTCGCGAATAAAACAGCATGCTGCTTCTTGCAAAACGATTCGTAGATACTCATTCTTCTCAGCTGATGAAGAGTGCCGTAGAGAGCTAATAAACTGACGCCTGGTCGCAGTCGGCAAAACGCTTCATATACATACTTCACCTAAAATTGATTTTTGACAAACAAATTATGTCAGTTCACAATAATTCAGTTTATATCAAGTAGTTGATATAAAAAATAATTACTTGTTTACAGCTGGAAAAGAATACAATTATCTTCTGTTTCATGTGATTTTTTATAAAGGACCATAGCATTGCCATTTTATCTTCCAAGGAACAGACAATGTAACTCTGTTGCAGGCCCTCCGGCGTGGTGTGCGCAGAGTGTTCGTGCACGGACACGTACAATGGATCTTTAAGACTTAATCTCGCCAAATCTTTCACAGATCTAATAAAAATGCCAAAGTATATAATAACACTGTTAGTGCCATGAAAATTTTAATTCAATGTAATTATCTCTCAATACGTACTTTGTTTGAGTCGCTGAAAAAAGCAGAGTTTGCCTTTTAGCCGGTAAATTTTCAATGATGGAATTCATGGTCTTCTCAAAACCCATGTCTAAACAACGATCCGCTTCATCTAACACTAATATCTACAGAAAATTGTATCTTCAATAATGTTTATTTCTTTAAAAGTGTATAATTCGCTTCATTAAAAGCAAAAAAGTGTTATTTAACAATTACCTGCATATTTACACAATCGAATAATGGATTTTCGTCCATATGCTGAAGCAAACGTCCTGGTGTACATATAACTATATTACACTGGTCCATACGTTTCTTCTCGAATTTTAAATCCTTTCCTCCTATAATCAAGCCTGCTGAAATATCGTGGTGCTGACCCACTTTTCGTAACGTCTCGTATATCTGATACGCCAGCTCTCTCGTTGGTGTGATAATCAATGCACCTAGACCATCTAGTCTCGACCACTTTTTGCAGTACAAAATTTCCAATACCTGAAACAATACGATTTATCAATCGTATGTCGTAGCCGTTAGAAAATCTGTTCACACGAGAGATTTTATTTGTTCGTACTGGGATAAGAAAAGCCAGTGTTTTGCCACTGCCGGTTTTCGCAGCTCCCAAGATATCGTTGCCCTGCAAGGCTAAGCCGATACTCTGCCTCTGGATGTCCGTCATTTCGACATAGTTGTTTTCCGTTAAACCCTTCAGGGTAAACTTCGATAGGGGAAGATCATTGAACTTTGTCGTTTTCGTAACGTCTATCTATAATTTCACATTTGTAATTAGTTTTACGTACCACTGTTTGAATTGTTATGTCACATGATACTCTTGGTTGTACTTACAGTGTCATACTTAGACCGTAACTCCTCGATTATTTTACTCTCCGGTATACGTTTCTTCTTCGCATAAGCTTTTACTTTCTTTTTGTCAGTCATAATTTATTCGTTGCGTTCTTTCTTTTATTGATGAATCATAAATATTATTTCGTTTCGTTTTCCAATGTTTTCTCCGATACCACGTGTTTACTTCATTGATTCATTTGCTACAAAATGAGACATATCAAGTGCTGGCACCGCTTATCGTAGAGGACGTAGAGAAAGTAGAAAAATATTATTTATGTCGATAACATAAGAGATTTAATTTTCACTAGTTGGTAAAGTCATCTGCAAATTTATCGACTATGGTTACGACCGTTCTGGTGCAGGTAATTACCGCCGCGACATTAAAAATTATTTATCGACTGCTGCATATGATATTTTATAAATTCTGCAATAAAATTTATCCAAGGAACATATTGTATGTATGTATGTACTACATACAATTTGAAGTCTTGAAGTTAGCTAACCCAATTATAGTAGCAATTATATACATCGTTCGCAATCGTTGTCCATGCGTTACAATTGGCCACGTTGCGATTGCCCACGCGTTGCAATTGCCCACATTGCGATTGCCCACGCGTTGCAATTGCCCACGCGTTGCAATTGCCCACGTTGCGATTGCCCACGCGTTGCAATTGCCCACATTGCGATTGCCCACGCGTTGCAATTGCCCACATTGCGATTGCCCACGCGTTGCAATTGCCCACGTCACATAATGCTTATTGCTACATAGGAAGCTCTTCTTTAATATTTGCACAATTTTATATTTTTATTTTAGAGTAAGATTGTAAAATAAGGAGAACTGAGAAAAATTTGTTCTATGTATTAATGTTTGACATATTCCAAATTGTAAATTTTGTAAGTTAAAAAGCCATCGAATTTCTTTTTTTTCATCTTTTAAACATTTAAATTTCGATATTAATTAGAATTTTTATAATCTTCATAAAAGTAATTATAAATATTCTCTAGATTTTCTGAAAGTGAGATTCATTTTATTCACCATTAATGTAGTTAAAAATGTTTCCCTTGATATAGAAATTATTTAGAGTTATTCAGTTTCTTATAATAAACTTTTACATGTTAAATAACAAGCTGAACAAATTGAATTAACTTTGATATATTAAAATTATTTTTTTGTGTCCATAATTCATAAAAATACTCAGTTTAACTCACAATCAGTCTACTTAAATAGAGAGAGAGAGAGAGAGAGAGAGAGAGAGAGAGCGCTTATTTTTTTCCTGAATAATATGAGTTTATTGTCGGTAGATATGTTTTTAACTGGTCTCTATTGCATTAATTGAGACGCGTATATATTGCATGTTGCAGTTGAGCGGAGTTTTTTTGAATTGGTCCAGACGTTTGTTTCAATGATTTGAATTACGATTTGCGGGTTCGCGGGTTTCTAATTGTTCGTTGTGTCCATTATATCTGTCTGTTCCCATTTTTAGCTTCGTGCCTATTATTCAATTGCTACGTTAAAAAAGAATTTAGCAAATAGGATATCTCTTAACATTGGAAAAACAATGCTCTTTTTTTCAATAATTATGTTAGATTTACATTATACTTGACGCGAGGCTGTTTTTAGTTTCTTTCAGTAACTTTCTTTTAATTTCAGCAAAGAATGCGACAGATATAATTGAAGCCACGGGGATGCAAGAGCAATTTTTCGAAGTGAGAAGAACGGAAAGTCGTTGCAGAGATGACACGGTCGCGTACAATATTATATGGAAGCTGTGATCCTGATGACTCCTACCAGTGCACTATTTCCGGCTGGCATATCACAGGATTTCTCTATCTTAGTTGTTGCAAAACCAAAAGCGAATCAACATTCAAAGGTAATGTTAAATTATTTTCAAGTAATATTATAATTGGGCGCGCTTATATCTGTACTTTCATTAAATCATTTATAATGATATTTATTATTTCAATAAATCTCTTGAAACTCTTTTATAAAAAGATAATAGAAAATAATGAGTTTTAGTTTTTAATAACTTTAGCGATCTCTGATATTTAAATATGTTTTGTCGTGTATATGAAATATATACATTTTTACTGATTTGGTCATTTTGCAAAATTAATTAAACTACAATAACTTATAAATATTTATTGAATTTAAAATTATTTTATCGAATTTTATTAACGAAAACTACTCCAAGCTTATTATTTTTTATCTTACAAATCAAAGCTCCAATTTTATAGTAATTGATATTCATAGATTATTTTACATTGGTATACTCTTTATTATTTATGAATGGTGAAAACGGGGAAGAACATTTGATTCTTTCGTTGGGACGCGATATTACATTCTTCCATAGCACCTTTCTATAGCATAAATCAATTATTCAATAATCTAAATACTATTATATAATAATACTAATAATAATAATAATACTATATTAATTATAATATTAATAATAGTACTATTATTATTTTATCATTAATTATATATGTATAACATTTTAGCAACATTTAGTGACATAATGAAAAATTTAATCTTATTTAAGAGAACTATCGCCATCAGGTTCCGTGGTGTAGCGGTTATCACGTCTGCTTTACACGCAGAAGGTCGCCAGTTCGATCCCGGCCGGAACCACTTTTTTGTACTTTTTGCTTAGATATGAGATCCATCCTTAGAAAGCGCGCTATTTAATGTCTTCAAAGTGTATTTGAAACCGCGGTATTCTATTCGTTTCGAGGATAAAAGAAACTCGAGAAGAAAAGTTATGATTTCGGATTTATGATTGTAAGACTTATTTTCCTTTCAAAGCATAAAATGTATTTGTAAAGTTTGATGATCTATTTTAAAAATATTTAATATTACTTAATAATTGTCGAAATAATAATTTCACTAGTCATTCTTCAAAAATTAAGCACTTATTAATACGTCTACTTTATTGTTACATTTCAAAATTATATTTATTGTCGGTAAAAAAATCGAATTCAATTAGAAAAATTAGAAATCAATTTGGTAACTCTTTTAAGTAATTAGAAATTAATTGAAGCTAAACTTATCGGCGAGAAAGCGCTTCATCGAATGACGCTAGCCGACCCGTCACACTTATCGACTCTCGGCGAGGGGGCGAAAGTATGAAAAGATTCGAGTGAGAGATAGGGCGGATCGAAGGAATCCGCGAGAAATGGCGAGATATGCGTGGGCGAACCGTGAGAAACCGCAGGTGACACCTTGTCATGGCGGTCGGCGGTTCACACTTCGGTTTCTTTCGTCCTTTTTCTGGTGACAAGACAACCGAAGTAACGGTGCAGGGCCGCTTTCAGCGTGGAATTGAGAAATGCGCTCAGTCGCGTTACGCGAAATCTTGCAAAAGAAGCAAACTTGAAATCGTTATACTGTAATGAAATAAACAAGAGAAAAGAATTATATAAAAAATTGAAACATATTCTCGTAAATATAATATATATTATTTAAGAGTATGAAAAGTATAAGATAAATAAATATCTGTTACAGTCGACAAAAAGTAGGTTCAGCGATTTTACTTTTCTTCAAATATAACTTTTCCAAGATACAAAATGTCTGAATATTGTCACGATATCGTTATATTTATCTCAAGGATTAGAATATTTTTTAAATATTCTACTCGTAGCAAGTTACAATAAGTATTTTGACAAATTGATAAAACGATAGTGGTAGTTCTGTTGGAGGAGACAGCGTCCCTGCGTCGAGCGTCTTTTTCAGCGAAGCGCGGTAGGAGGGATAAAAGGTTTCCTTGTTTAACAAAATATCGTCTCCGAGCCATTAGCCCGACCGTTACCACTTCAGCGCGATTTTCTGCTCCCGCTATCGCGTCGAGGAGGCACTCGAGGATCTTGCGGATCCTGCGGAGCTATCAAACGCAGACCTGCCTTTCTTCACCCTCCAGGACAACTTCGATGTGTTGAAATTAACGGGAGAGCTTGGTAGCTCGGTGCACTCAACACTGTCGCCGTTAACTCGACCTTTAATTTCCGTCAAAGTGATCATGATACTTTCCTTCGTTTTTTTATTTACTTTATTTTTTTTAGAAGAGCAAATAAATGGCTTATAATATTAAAGCGCAAGCCTGTCATTAAATTTCTTGCTTAGAAATTTTTTAAAAATGATATGGAATGGTTTCTTTTTAGATGAAATAGACTAAGTTTACCAGTATATTTATCAAACTTTAATTTAAACTCAGCGGACCTACTTATTATAGTCATGGTATATTAATTATTATATAATAATAACAATAATACAATTAAATAATTTAATTATATATTTCTAAATAAACTTTTGTATCTTATATCGTGTAAAAATATTTTCGAGCAAGCAAATTTTCTTGCTCGAGTCTTGGACTTATTTCTGTATTAAAAAACTTCCTATGAGTCCTGTGAGTCCTATGCACCGTGCATAAAATATCTAATGGATAAAACGGTGGCTTGATCACATACATGTATTTTCGAGATGGCGATCATTGATTTCCAGGGAAATAATAAATGAAATATTCAGGGAATACTGTATGCCATTACGCTTGTCTTGCGTAACCGTAACATCGCAGCGCCGTGAGAAACAGCCAGATGTCACAGTCACTCCCAGAGTATGATAACAGGAATGTATATTCCAACGAGGCCTGTCAGATCTTTATTTAAGGATCAATCATTGCTGAAGTCGATCTACAATATAAATCAATCTATATAGAAATTACGGGTTGTGTAGTTATAAGATTCGAATAATGTTCAAAGAATGAATATTCTATTTAAAAAGTATACAACATGCTTCAGGATTTTCAACCCTTATTTTGTTTTCAAATTTTTTGAGCGATTTGAAGGCAATTATTTTTAAAAAATTTTTAATTTTATTGTCGGATGTTTAAGTAATTCGTAAAATTTTTCAAACCTTCAATCTATAACTCAATGTTTTATCAATTGAAAATCTTCAAAATTTAACTTGTTTGTAATATAATTGTTCATTAAACTATTGATCAGTTTATGTGTATTTTATCCTTTCGTTATATATAAATTTTTTCACTCATCTTTGGTTATTCTTTTTCTCTTTTCCTCACGTGTTATTATTGAATGCTGAAAAGAGTTCGACCAAGGTAAAATAAATTTTCTCCCCACACAATCCTGTCTCTCTCTCTCTCTCTCTCTCTCTCTCTCTCTCTCTCTCTATTCCTTTTATACCCCTCTCGAAGTTCGCTCGATAAAGTCGATTCGACTACGGTGGTTCTTTGCGATTAGCCGGAGGGAGAGGCCGCGTACGAGTTGACTTTCGCGCTCCGGCTCACTCACCGCCGTTTACAGCAGGGTAAAGGAGAGGACACCCTTCGCTGCTTAGTCGAGGGGGTTGTGCTCGTTCAACCC